GCTCTGTTGTCAGCGATGAGACACACTTAAAAAAGCACAAATCAAATAGTGAGAGTCTTGTATGCTGCTATACTTTGCTTGTTTTTCGCATATTAAATACGCCTCGTGTGTCTACATTTGTATCACATCGTATTAATATTACAAGAAATTTATTTGTGATAAATTGGATCGAGAGATATTTCGAATGAAAACTTAAAATTATATATAGCGCATATTAAAAATCCACGCCAATACTGAATTAAACATAATTGTTACAGCAATGTAGTCCTTCAGTCTTTCTCTCATTTCGATTAACTCTCTGTCATGGTTCAATTCTCTACGTTTGTTATCATATGCGGACTTGTTGATTTGATGATTAGATCGTACACTGAGCTAATAAAACTCTCACTCCGATCTTTCATTATCGTACACATAATTATTATCATTATGTATGTAACGCGATGTAAATTGTAGGATAAGAGGAAAGAGACGTTTGGTCCTCTTCTGATATCGGATGTAACAGTACATGCGTTGTGTGTGAAACTTTTTATTCATACCCAAATTGCCGCATTCCCTCCACGACAGTAACGTTTCTCAGCGTTAGCTCTTTCAGCCAAATTCTTCATTATCCTTTCATTGCATGCGTGAACTAACTTACTAGTTACTTTTTACGCAATGCACAACAATGAAAGTTGAAAAGCTTGCACTTTCTAGAACTTACATTTGTATCGGATCTTACAAATAACAAGTAAACGATGTACAGTACGGTACATACTACTTCATACTTTATACAATGCCGGACACCATCACTGCCTCCAGTGACATATAAGAGCTCTGCCTTAATTTACATTATTGTTTAGCAATTGGACGATTCGGATGTTCTAAATTCCTCATTTAGCTTTACTTATCGATATACATTCAATAAGAAACAAATCGATTGTACATCCATTATTTGTGACTGGACCAACCGTGAAATATTCTCGTGTGCATAACTTAAACAATTCTTTTTCGCCTTGCTTCTTTTACATCACTTTGACATTTATCCGTGAAACAATCAACATATAGTAATATATTGCTAACCGGTGAACTTAAACTTTTGCAACAATGCGGCGTATATAACCATAGTCGAACGGTAACACTGTGTAGTATTTGAATCATTCTTCGTGCTTTAGTATAGAAATTTCTAAATGTTATCTATCCAGCATTATAGTTTCCGCGATCAGTGAAAAATAATGCTAATCGAAAGAAAGCGATATAAATTATAAAATTAATGAAAGTTTGTACAAATTAATTTGAAAATCACGTATCTTCTCTACAGCAAAGTAGCTTCGTCAGTTTAAATAACGGTATCAAAAATACATATTACTTATTCTTTATAAAATAATAATAATAATGACAAAATAATAATAATAATAACAATAATAATGACAATAATAAATTTAAACAACCCAAAAAGAAACTTATTTACACACATATACGTACTATTATTGCTCCAGTGCTACAACACTGATAAACGGATGCAAAGTTTCAATCAATATGTCCAGTGTAGCTCAGCATCACAGGGTTTGATTAAACTTAAGTATTCCACCCTAAAAAAAAATACTGCTTTCTTAAAATATCTCTAACAAGTTATTTAAAAATCTCTCACTGTTAGACCATAATTTAGAATTACAATGCCGCGTTAATCGCGTTTATGCATCAATCAAAAGAATTTAGTGGAAATTTTGCGTTCACTTACAATGCTCCTTCATGGCGAGAGTCTGTTTAAGGTGGCGCATGAGGTGACTACCGACGTCGTGCACCTCAGGCCATTGTTTCAGCACAAATACTATGCCCAGGACAACGAATGTAGTTGTTAATATACGCACCCTACACATGAAACAATGAGGCTTAGTACAGCTGTAACAGACATGCGAAAACAAAACAGAATAATGAGTGAGCAAAATAAATAGATGAATGATCGTAGATTGCAATATGAAGATGAATGAAGCTTGGCGAATAAATATCGCGATTTAAGACAGAAACGATGATTATTATATATCGTAATGTTGATTACAATCGCATTTTAATATTCTGTTTATACGATGGTGAATGAATAACGTAAATCTAAATGATCAATCAATAATTTGTCATTGGTTTAACAGAGTAAAATAAAAACAAATCTTAATAATCAACTTACCTAGTTCTGAGAAAAGGCATCATGATGCCAGCACCCGTTGCAACGAGGAGCAAAACAACTTGTAATACCGTTAGCACTATATTTATCAATTTTACAACTAATGCTCTTGCGTTGCTGTTATCCAGACCCTCCAACGTCACGTATTGCTGGTGCTGCTGTTGCTGATGTTCCATTTTACAAATCTTAGTTTGACAACTCTCCAACATTTCGTGTATATCCCGTAGCCTGTCCTCGCTTTGATATTGCACCTTCTCCTCCATGTCTGTAATTGTTTGTTTCAAGTTCTCTACTTCGTTCTGATGTAATTCTGTTAAATCATTGATCTGCTCTTCTAAACGTTCGCATCTGAAACGCTCCTCTTGGAGGGAATGAGAAAGATATGTCACTTCCTGTTGCAGCGTACTAAAAAAAATATATATATATATATATATATATATTTGTATCATCGTGAAATATTTATTTATACGTATTTATACTTTCTTAAAATACAATAGAGATGTATTTAGATAAAACAGGACACAAACCTTTATGGTATCCAATTTTTCTCTCATTCGATCGAGAGTCTCTCGATGCTCCTGCAATTCTGAGAAAATAGACTTGAGACTCAGAGCTGCGTTATTACTGTGACACGTGTGCGGCTGTCCTCTACTACCGGGGCCGCTTTCACTAGTCACGCTAGAACACTCCGATCCTTCCTCAGACGGAAATTTCATAGCAGCTGCGCTTTGTGTAGATCCTAGACTGCATCCACCAGGAAGCGTGGCCGAGCCATGATGGACTTTATCGTCTTCAACGCTAGCGTTATCACCATTACCTGCATGCGGTGTATCGTTTACATAAAAAGTCGAGCCATCTGCAGAGACACAGAGGTGGCAAGTTAGAATGTTATCCAATACCAAAGCTTGGCCTTTTGAAGAAAATATCAAGTTATTATGTTATTCATGTTTCCCCTTAAAATAAAAATTAAATTGCTCTTTATTTCAGTTAAAAAGCAGTCATTTCGGAATAAAACGTCTTTATAAAAAATTATAATAATTGTAAAACAATTATTTCATATTGATTATTGTATATTTTAGCATTACTGGAAGTATTGGATAACTGACAATAAATAAAGAAAGACAAATACATAATCATAGAAGCCACTACAAATCACTGTGATAACATAAAATATGTGCAACTTAATATACGACAAAATTATATGAAAATTGGTTTTGCATAAAAGAATAAAAAAAAAATAAAATAGCAATTTAACGAAAATTGAAAGTAAACAACGCATTCTGTACAGATTATCTTTATCATACTTTAAAAACAATATTGTTATCATTTAATTTTTCAGTTTATAAAGAAGATAAAAAGCTTAAAGCAGCTGAAAAAGAATACAATAAATACTGTGCATAAAGCATTGTAATAAAGTGCAATTAAATTCTTGCACTTCGGACAACACATTACTTACTACTCTCAACTGCCATGATAGCAAAAATGTTAAAGAATGTTTATTCTCTTATTTAAATATATTTTGCATTTAAACAAATAGAAATAACAAGAACAAATTATGTGAATTATACTGTAAGAATTATATAATTTTATTTTCTGTATATTAATTCCATAAGTGTATTGTTTCAAAAAATGTATTATTTAGTCTTAATTTTTTATTTGACATCACATTTTGCAGATTCAATAATATGTCAAATTCACTAAAAATGTATAAATTGTTACTTACGTGATAAAGTATTTATATTATCAGCACTTCCAAATTTGTTTTTAATAAGATGAGCAAACTCTCTCGGTTTAGACATTACAGTTCTGCAATAAAATACAATTACAAGATAAATAAAAAACCTATATTATTGATTTTTCAGTGGACATATTTAGTTCACTTTAGGTAATTCTAGCAATTCGAAGAAATGTGATGAATCAACCACATAAGAATAGGGTTTCAGTATATTTGGGCATAGGATCTATTTTCGTATGAACACTCACCCTGAAAAACCAGTGATTCCATCCCTGATGTTGCCTCCAACGTTTCTGAAATGCAAAGTTCAAATTAGACAAATATTATTACTATCAATTTATATCCAACAACACATAACTTTCATCGACAGTTTTGGCGATAAACAGATATTTTCCTTTAAATATAAAAAAATAAATAAAAAGTTATTTTTTTCTTTAACACTCACTTAAGTCCTTGTCCCATGTCCCGTAACATTTCCCTCGGTTGCCTGTGACTCGTAGGCGCGCCATTCATCTCATAATTTCTTAATTTTTTCATATAACTGTCTAGCTTCTTTTGTAACTGCGAAATACTGTGCGCCGATTTTTGATTCTTTTTTTCGAATACTGTTTTAATCCTAGTTAATTGTTGCTTGTCTGCGTTAGCAGCTAATTTCAAATATTCATTGACGTTTTCTGAGGAGCAGAAATATCACAATATAATATATTTGTGTGCAAATAAACGATATATGGCACATTCTCGCTTTTATACTTGGTTAAATTAAGAAATGTTTACGTACCATCCCGCGTAGTTTGTTCTATTCTTATTAGCTCTCGCGTCTTAGCAATTTTACTTTGAATGTGTTCAATAGCTTGACGAACTCTTACGGCGCTGGAATCAACATCATCAGCTATCAGTTCAGAAGAGCCATTCGATAGGAACGATTGAGTTGCGTGGTATTGTTCCTGTACAGACATTAAATACATTAATATCATATATTATTATTTAACGCGTAATAACATTTTAAGAATTTTGAAATTTGATTATTTTGAAGCAATTTTCAACACAAGTCGTTGCGATTCCGCTTAAAACAGTTATGACAATAAGCATAGTCTTCCACAAGCTTAACAAACTACTCTTTAACCCATGACTTGCTAATAGTTGATAAGCTTGCAACTTAATCCACTATACAATGACAATATTATGTAACTGTATTTATGCAAGAATGCAAAGTCATGTTAAAAATATACGCATTAGACGCGCAAAGTGCAGCAATTTATATGTCCGTCTTTGATAAGCCTTCATTATCTTACACAGTAATGTCTCATTGAAAAATACGAGATATTTAAAGTTCTTAAGTCAGACAACATTTCAGATACGTACTCCTTCGTCATCAGTCGGTGGATGAATGTTTGGCACAAACTCCTCTGGTTCGGCAGTGCTTGTATTACTTTGTTCCTCCATGGCGTCTCCCACGCGAATTATATTTCCTGGTGATCTTTGCCTACCGCTGCTTTTCATGCTAAGGCTGCTCGCAGCACCACCACCGCCGCTACCACTGCCTGTGCTACCCTCTCCTGCCTGAGAACTAGACAGATATGTAACACATACGTGTTATTTCTGTGACAGTTTTTACAATTTACAATACAGTAGTTAAGATAATAATATCATCGGTTATGCTTTTTACAAATGGAATTGTGAACATTAAGTTGAGTCATAAACGACTTCCCGTTACGATAGCGAACTTATCAAAGAAATGGAAGTTGTTTGTGACTCAACCTAGTATGCGTAATAGATTTCGCTAGCTTTAAATATTAAACATTATCAATAAAAAATAAATATAAACAATGAAATATATATTAAGAATCTTACATTGGAGCATTACGTAATCTTGGAGTGTGATCTAAGTTTCCTGACTGCTGCTGCTGATGTAGTTGAGATGTTGAAGTTGCTCTACTGGGAGATCCACTGCGCGAACTGTTTTTACTAGAGGTGTTCACCATCAAGCTTGCCATACCTTCTTCCTGAGAAGGTTGTCATCTATCCACTCTGTTTCAGCAAGTTTACATTGAACCTACACATAAAAAATTACAAAAGGGTAGAATAACAGTATGATTCTGTGCCATTGAAAATAATAACCCTGCTATTAATCCACAGTGTAATCAATAAATAACGATATTTCATAATTTTAGCTCTTCTAATTGAAAAATAAGATCCTAATAATTAATATCGGGGATTAAAGAATCGATAATTCATCTCCAACTCGCACCCAACCGATCCCTCATCATATTTCCTGCTATTATTAAGGTCAGTATCAACACGGTATATCTACGATAAGTTTTATCTCAGCGCAGTTTATCGTGATTCATAGGCTTTTCCCAGAAAAGAATTGATGAAAATAATTAATGAAAAAAAGTTCTCGACTTTGCGCATGTTATATATAATTTTATTTTACTAATATTTCTTAATAATTTTGCAGATATTATGCATTGATATTCTGCAATATTTTTGTTCCTTCTAGTATAAGGATAAAAAAACATAAGGCAAAATAAGTTACGGAACAAACACTCCACTGAACTGAACCCTCCATATATCTATCTTGGGCAGTAATTTTCTCTAAGAGGTTACATTATCTAATTTATACTTTAAATATACATTGAGCACAAACCGCATCTAAATTTAGAATGTAGGATATGTCAGAGAGATACACCCATGTTTAAATTAAAAATGTAGTAGAAATCTTCTCAATATGCTTGATATATAAATTCGCGAATTTAAAAGTATTATGTACGTTTCACATCTGTTTTTTTTTTTTAAATTCTCAGAAAATTTTTTGAAAGTTAACAAAAACTTGAACTGAATTAAATTGAAAAAGATAAGATCTTTTAATTAATATTGATATTATGTATCAATGTTAATCATAAATTTCTGAATCATAAATACATTAAAATTGGATTTTTGCCATGTAAAGAATTAAAGTTTGTTTCTTCTTATCATCTCTTTAAAGTAACATAAGAAAGCGCGTATAAGTATCTCAATTCTACGTCGTATCACTGTTTTTAATTCGATCTCTTAACTGATGAATCACCGGCATTATCATAACCTACTGACTTTAAAATGGAACTAAGAATATGCAGGAAATGATGTGATACATTATTGACGATATATTATTTATAGTTCGAAAGAGATATAAGAATTTATATTTACTTTATTTGTGCCACTCGCATTGAATTGTTTGAAACGTCATTAGTAAATAAAAATTGCACATAAAAATCTAATCAAACAGAAATATTTATCCCGCAATTATGGAAGAATGCCACCAAAATACCTGATTCGCAAAAATCAAGGACAATTTCTAAAACCTGTTCTCCGAATGACTAAAAACCCGCTTTCGTTCGCGATATAGACGCAGTAAAGTTTGCCGATCACGTAGAATTATTGGCGAAAGTCCCGCGGCGATGATCTTTAGACGGCCACCGACCGCACTCGTGGGCCACAATTTCACTGAACGCCACACGCGCCCAACGATCCGCGATAACGAAAGACGCAAAGGCAGAAGCAACCGCGCCGCCGCCGCAAGTTCGATTATAAAATGCGTTCATGCAACACGGCCTACGTCGGCTCTGGCACTCGACGAGAGCCGAGGGAAACGCGCGCGAACCTGTGGTCTCTGGACTTCGCTCCTGCCGCAGAGGGACGAGCCACCGATTTCGCTCGTGCGTGATCGCTCGGCCTGTTATGCGAATATACGATGTAGCGTGCGGTAGCGGGCAGTATCGATGCAAAACACACAGGTCCGTATTAATAGGCGCATAGGGTCGGTGTAACGACAAATGCCGATTACGTGAACGTCGTGTTTTTCGCTAGACTCCCCTCTTTTTCACGAGCCGTTCCTATAAACATTTTTCTACGTTGAGACACAAATTAAAACTAATCCCGCGTTTCTTTCTGACTGTCACATTGATAAAAGATTCATTAATATTTGAAACAGTTCCAACTAAAGACACAACTAAGATTATTTATCAAAAATACAAAGTGTTTTATCAGATAAAAACAATCAAAGGAAACACCTGAAATTATTTACCATGCATAAAATTATTTTTAAATAAATCTTACTATTTTTGTTCATTTAATCAATTAATTAAACAGTTGATGCAAGCGTTAACACACAGTCACACTAATAATGACGTTAATTAATCATCTTGTTTATAATTTTGAAACATAATTGATTGAAATTATTCATCCAAAATTAAACGATCTCCAAATAATCTGACCGCAATTCCCATTCGTTTAGTTAAAAAGAAAAATGAGGACAGTCGATAAGTGCTAATAGACAGTCGCATAGGTAATGTGTGTTAATTAACCTCAGTTAATCATTTCTCACCGCTGCGCCAGTTATTTATGTCATAACTTTAGCTACATACTACAGATAACAGCAACATTATATATTTGGCAAAGCGCATAGCGCCGCACCGATATTGCCGCAACCGGCTCTAAATGTGACCCTTCAGCCGCGCGATTCCGCGTCTGTCTAACGTCATACTGGCACAGATGATTCCTCCACGCGAGTGAACACGCGCAGATCAACAGCAGGCGGTCGAACGCGTGTGACGGGAATACAAATCGACACGTTGGAGAGCTGTCAAGCAGCGTCTCTGTGATTCACGATTCTTTCCGCTATTGTGTTTCGTATCGGACGACGCGCATTTCACGCGATATAAACAGAGAAGAAGGGTGCATTCAGCGTTGAAATGCGCGGCGCACGCTCGTCTCAGTGCACAGCGTCGTCGTTCGAAACAATTTCACGCGTGCATGCGTCCTCGAGAAATGAAAGCAAACCGGCTATCAACGTTGTCGTTATCTTCTTGTGAAATCGCGAAGGAAACGCTTGCGATTGCGAGATAACCTAACATATAGCTAACTTGCGCTATGCGTTAAGCTACCTCACGACGGTTTACCATCAGGCGAAACTTTCTCAACAGCTGCACTGTTGAATAACAACTGCTTATAATCGACGCGCCACTTCTAGATTTACCAATTAAATCTCTCAAATGTCGATCATTCAACTGTTTGTATTTTCCGAAATCAACCTCTCGCGCGAGCAATCTCGAGTCCGCGATGTCGTCGCTCACCTCGTTCGTCGCGCGACGTCGGACATCATCGAATGCGTGATCGAATACTTGAAATGCAGCACCGACAATTTATGATTCTCGCCCGCTGTTTGCTTGCCGAATTCGCGAGTCGTGGTCCTCGCGGAATCCTTGAAGCGAGCATCCGTTCGCGATGCGGAGAAAGACAGAGAGAGGGGAAAAAGAAAAAGGGAGAAAGAGAACTCACACTGACTCACAGTGGCTCTGCGCTATCCGCTATGATTCCCTTGCTATGTGCTGCGACGGTGCGGGCGTGTCATCGCTCGCCGGCTGATCTTATTGTCGACACGACTATCGACGCCATGCACACACACCACGAATAGCACGCAATGTCGTCCTCGTCGTCAAATGTGGTCAGGTGCACGCACGCACGCACAATGATCTCGATGGACGAATTCGCGGATGTTCTCGCGAAGGTCCCTCGAGTGCGAACACACTAAGCAACACGATCGACGAGACTGGCCGCAACGCGCGTTGCGCGCCCGTAGCAATCGCGACAAGGCGGTGCATTAATGACCGCAGGAACGGACACAGACATTCCAATGCCCTCGGCGAGTTTAGGAGTCCAGCGACAGTCCTGACAACGAAATGAATTTCAAATGTTAATACTCGAATAATGAATTATTCAAAATAAATGTTCCAATAATCAAACATTTAAGAGAGGCAATCATTGTTGAAGATATGATTCTTCCTAAAAATAATATTTTTCTCATCTCTTTTTTGCGTATATAATAAAGATTAAAATCTGCTTGAGAGAAATGAATTCAAAATAATGATTATCAATTAATAGTCAATTATATATCATATTTGCAACAAATGTCGGATATGCAGTATAATCAATATCCGAGGGTATAATTTAGAATATGCAAAAGATACTTTTTAAATAAGAAATTCAGAAATTTGTTTCTAACACAGATTGAAAGTGTTTTTTTTCAGCATTATAAAATATCACTTGCTCTTAGTAAAATCGTTGCGGATTAATCGGAATTGTCTCACATAATATAATTTTATACTAGTTTATTATATTATATACTTATTTTTAATTCTTTTTGTATGCAAACTTAATTTGCTAAAGTTTTTTAAATATTATTTCTAGATTTTATATTTATAAATATAAAAGAATAATCGTTTATATATCTGGCTACTGGGACATTTATTTTATATGACATAATTAAGTTTGAAAAAGGTTAAAAATATTGACTCTTGGAATTGCTAATTAGAAATACAGTTTATTTAGCATTAAAATAAAATTCTAAAACTATTTCAAAATGCAAACTATCTATTTATAAATGTATACAATATTAACACATATCAAACATTTAACTGAAACTCCAAAATAAATAAATGCCATTACTCTTTGAACCTGTCCCGCTTAAATATTTATCTAGTATTGCAATTCTAATTCACTAAGGTCTTAAAGTTTCAATTTTTAGACAAAATAGTAAATAAATTCAGTGACATTGAGATTTGTATTTGAATTGAAAAACTATCTTATAAATGCAAACGATAGTCTATTCGAGTCTGTTCAGAATATCGCGTAAACTCATACAGTATTAAGCGCACAATTTTACCATTTTTATTTTATTGTTATTTGGCTAATAATTTTCATATATCGATTCATATCATTTTATAATAGCTCCAGGTTAATTAAAATTTCTTATAAAATATATTTTTATTTGCTCACCGTGTTCAAGTATTGGTAACATGATTGCATTGCAACGCACAAATATATGATAAGACATATGCGTCACTGGTGCAATGCGCATTTTGTAAAGCTGATGATTAAGCCAAGAGTATTAGAAAATTGCTTCGTGGAAGGTGATAAGTATACGAGTTTTCCGGTAATGACAAATTGATTTTGTAGAATTGTCTCTGCAATTTGGAAATTTTTTAGAAATTTCAGATTAGTGGTGTTAGCAATAAATTTAAACGTTTCAAATTTAAAAATCCTCCAATAAACCTATTTTGGCATAATATATTCTTTATCACAATTTCTATAAATAATTGACATGAAAAAATTAATGCCAATCTTTTTCTGAGTTTCTAAATAATTGTATTATTTGTATTATTTATGCAGTTAAAAAAAAGAATATTTTTTTGCAATAATAAAGAAAAGAGAAATACAGAAAAATGTAGAAAAATCAGTTGAATTAAATATTGAACAAAGTTTAATTTTTCTACATTTATTATATTTTACGATATTCTTTCACAGAAAAAGAGAGGAAGATATAGAAAAATGTAAAAACAACAATGGAACATCAAACTGTTCACCTAATTTTCAATCGTTCCAGTATATTAAGCCTCATAAGAATGTTAAATATATAATACCTTCATCAAATCAATTAAAATTAATCAAAATATTAAAAACTTCTATTATCTAAACATTTTTAACATTTAAATACACATTTATGCAAACAGTTGGAAGATGTTTTTTAAATTTAATTTTACCAATATAATCAGAAAGAACAATGCAGTTCTTCATTCAAACATCATAGTATATATTGATATGTAATACAGACATTTAAAAATAATTTAATTAACTGCAATTCTAACCTACGTCAATAGAAATACGCAATGTCCTCATATACGCATTTCACTTCAGACAAGTTTATTGTTGTTCACTCAGCTGCTTTAGCTTATCCAGCAGAGAATTGCCGAAGGAGTTCCTGTACTGCGGACTAATGAAATCTAGCAGGCTGTAGGGTGTCTCAAAGCACTCGTTACCCACGTTCGACGTATCGTCGTGCCGGTTGCCGACGATAGTGAAGCCGGCGGCTGACAGTTCCACGCAAAACCGTAGACCCTCCAGTGTAGTCAGATTCAAGTAGATCACCTGGTTGGTGCTTTGCAGTCGCTCGGACACCTTCAGATCCTGCACGTGTTTTCTTACATCATTGATCACCGCCTGCGCCTCCAACCGCCACTGTTCCTTGTCCAGCAATCGATCCCTGTTCTCGTCTTGCATATCACACTTCCAAGAATCAAATAGATCACGAGAGACACAGTAACTTATTCTGGAGGCATGCCGGCAAATAGCTGAGATATGCAAATGCGATTTCTTCTAGTCATTTATAACCTGAAATCGTTAATTCATCGTTATTTTTGTTAAATCATGTTTGTCAATATGGAAAAATTAGATTCTATAAATATTTGAATTTGCGATTTACTTTAGTTTGTCTTCTCTCCAGCTAATCTAACCTAATCTAATATTATGTCAGCTGATCGGAACTAGTAACGCCAGATTTGAGATGCTGCAGCAAGTAGCACGAGAGAGGGATACCGTACACATGCGCATTTCTGTCTCCTTTCTTATGCGCCATTTTAACCGGGATTTTATGAAATTGTTAACAGGAACACATGATGTAATAGGAGCTTGTTAACAGGAGCACATGATGATACAAGAACTCTACTCGTAACAGTGCCATCTATTGATTAGCTAAAGCAATATTACGAATGCATTGATGGTAAAAAAGTGTTAACAGAAGCACATGATGATATAGGAGCTCACTCACTGTACCTGATGATAAATGTACCGACTAGTGCGGTCGGTACACTTACCATCAATGCATTTGTAATGCTTTAGCTAATCAATAGATGGCACTGTTACGAGTAGAGCTCCTGTTGACAAGCTCCTATTACATCATGTGTTCCTGTTAACAATTTCATAAAATTCCGGCTAAAATGGAATGTTTCGGCCATTCCAACGGATAACCCTAACCTTTCTATATGTAGTTATTTTCGCTTTTAGGTTACTTTTGACAGTGTTAGGGTGCCCGTAAAAAACTTAAATAATTAAAACGTCTTCTTTAAAATTTTTGGAAAGTTTTTTGTTGCAAAATTCAAAATTGTTAAAGAAATTAAAAAGCAATATCTTTTTAAGACGTTTTAGGACGTTTTAAAAATGTCTTTTTTAGAACGTTTTTAGGATGTCCGCGGTTGTAATCTCAACGAGTTCTGATTTTAATGCAATAGTATGCAAAATAGCGTCTTTTTGCTGCTGTGATAACAAAATCAACGTTTCAAGTGTATTTTCTTTCATGACAAATTTCACAAATTATATGAAAATGTGTACTGCAATTATTACAAAAGGAATAAATATAGTAAAAAACTTCTATCTATATCTTACATTTATTAAAAATACTTATCTTGATCTTGATGGTATACATCTTGATGGTATACACATAGTAATCACATAAATTATGATTGCACGTTGATAAAAATGAATACAATTAAATGATCAATTATTTATGTAATATTTAACAAATTTATAAATGTAATTTCATGGACACTGTTCTGCTAATTCATATGTCTCATCTATACTTAAATCATTTAAATCCTCCCCCCAGTCATTATCGTCATGTTCTTCCAAAGCGGCATTTAATGTCTCTACATCAAATATACTCTTCGGCGAGTGTGTTTCTGGAATGTGCAAAATCTGTGTCTTCTGTATCACAGGCTCCATATCTGTAAAGAAATCAAATTCTTCCTTTGGAGTTTTTATTACCTTCGAATTCTTTATATCAAGCTCTGTAATATCAGAAAGCACTAGTTTCTTTGTGTACTTTGTTTTCATCGTATCTGATGATGATTCTGATAGTTGCAAGGACAAGTCCGCATCATTTTGTTCCGGTTTTATATTGTTTTGTAATTCTGTCTGTACAATATCTGAAGAAGCTTCTATTGTGTGATTGTTCTCAACTGTTTCTTGCGTTTCCCAATCCGACCAAGTGCACTCTTCCTCGCCAAGCAAAAATTCTTTCTCTCTCTTATCCTCACCGCCGTCCGGTGATGGCCTTTCCGATAAATGTACATTATTCTCCTCTATATTCACGAAGACAGGTATTTTCTGAGTGAATGTTAAACTTTTTTCAATATCACCCAGGTTTTTGTTCTGCATCAGCATTTTGTTTGGCCGACCGTCTGTGAACAGTTTTCCTCTGTTTCCTCCAATAACCGTCGCTGCGCCCAAGATTGGCACAATGTTAGCTAACGCCCTTAATGTAGCACAGACGAGATCATCATTAGTATCCTTTATTCCAACAAGTAATTCAGGAAGAATATGATTTTTTAGTTCTTCCGCTTCAAATACATGTACAAATGAATTGAAGTGGGACAACAGCAATAGACGGATAGATACATCTCGAATGCAAAACATCTGCAGAAGCCTTGGTACTAAAATATTCTTAAAAGTAGAAATTGTAAATAGACTAGATCCCAAATCGTTTTTCTCATCTGCAAAAATTAAGTCTTTTATCAGATTATTCGTTGCATAAAATAAGACTCTTATATATCAAATAACTGTTATAATAAAGATAACTAAAATCTTGTTATAAAGTTGTAATAAATGTATTCTAACCTTTTGGCTTAAAAATAAAAGGTAAAAGTTTTACTTGAGCAGTGCTATCCAATAAAACTATCCTAGAAAGAAGAACCCTGCCTAATTGTTCAGCAACAACAGCCTCAGGATACATCTGTAATTGCTGTCTTAATTTCCTGTAAATAACAATATATTTTTATACACAATTTTTGTAACATAATACATTTTCTTAAGTCACTTACGTGAAAAACTCTTCTCTCTCAATATCAGTTTTTAATGGTAATTCTTCTAGAAATGCATGTATTCTTATAAATTCATGAGTGAAAAATGTGTGTTGTAGTATATTCGATAATCTAGTTCTCAAACATGCATCTGCATTTTGCAAATTCTTTTTACAGAATTCTTTAAATTCCAATAAATTTGGCGCTTCATCTGAAATCAATGATAAAAAATTTGAAGTATGATAATATTGTGCATATTTAATATATCATCTTCAATTTACATACCTGTATCTTGTAAGTTTTTCAAAATATCTTCTGCCAACACTCCAAATGCATAGGAATCAATCGCAGTAAGATTAGCAGATTTAACTAAATCATCTATGTCTTCACCTGGCGATATCCCTTTTTCATACCTATAGCTTTTTATTCTTTGATAATACGTCGGTGTTGCATCTGAGAATTTACATAGGCATTCTAATCCACCCAATTTCCAATATCCTTCTGCAGTGACATAAATAGAACTGCTACATATATTGTTATGTGATGCCAACGCTGTCTCATGTAGAAATATTAAAGCTCGCAAAATGCTATGCAAGCCAATACATATTTGTAATATATTCTGCTTTTCAATAACTTGAATTAATGGCCTGGCTTCTTCCGTAGCAAGAAAGAACTTGCTACCTTTGCTCCATGAGGAGATATATTTCAGGATACAAGGATGTCGATGTAGCATGAAATTCTAAAACACACAGCATTTTATAACATTTATATTTCTTATAACTTTACTTTCATAACACATATGTATATATTGTATAAGCTGTAATATATAACAATACACTAAAAATTTACATATAATTTATTTCAAAGTTTTCATGTTTGTCAAGTAAAACTAATAATAAGAATTCTGAAAAATATTCGCCTGTTACATTCTTTTCTACTTGAGTGATTATGAATCACTGTCTTATCAGATACTTAAAAAACAAGTAACTTAAATAACCTTTGCCGCTCGCTCTAATGGTGATGGCCTTCCAAATGTCGCCGTGAAATGCAAGGACGGTTCACTGATAAAGATTGACAGTTTTTGTAGATTTGAATCGTGTATGCATGCATCATAATGCATCCAATAGTCTGTTACTTCCACAGCCTTGTCCTCGATTTCGAGTCCACGTAGAGCACTCTTTTCGTTCCCCATTTGTCGTTCGACATATATGCTATTCTAAATTATCAAATGTAGGAAAGACTCATTCAAGAACACCAGAGATGCAAAATAAAGTGTAAATTTCATTTTGTTTATAATTTGCGTCAATAAACTCAATAATGAACACCAACAAAATAGATACTAACTGTCACTCTCTGTTCTACTGATAAATTCTGATAACAGGATAGAACACTTAGTCCTGATAACTAATTAAGACACACGATCAGTGATTTCACGTGAAAGACATTCTATGATCAGCGAGGTGAATTGTGTATATATTATATTCGCGTGAAACTTTCGATCATGTCAATTGAGCAAGAAAGCATAACCTATTTTCGCAACACGAGCCGTCAATTTGCTCACAATAATAAAAGGTATAAACATTATAGTAATTCTTGCTAAATATATATTGGTAATGTTGGATTATAATAAAATGCTATGAGATATTTAGTCGAATTGCGCAAGCAACTGCAATTATTAATGTAAAAATATACGGGAAAAACTGTATTTTAAAAATTTGCGCCAATGTAATTCAACCTTTCTCAATTTCTAATGGTGAATCCACATTAAGTTCGATGATCAATATACAAAATGTTAATGTCCAATACGAAAAATGTATCTTCTAGTGATTTTATTTGGTGACAAAAATATTTCTAAAAAATAAATTTTGGTATTGGTTATCAGATAGCATGCAAGCAAAGAAGGCAATATGGATCCTTCATAATAATGTGTCAGATATAGTACGATGCATCACACTTTCAAATTTTTAAATAAGATGATCCTTTTTATCAATCTTAAATTATATATTTTTGCGACACATGCTTTGTACAATAAAAATCTCTTGTTACATATTATTTTCGCAAAAACAGATTATATAATACTTTAAAATATATGTTGATTATTTTATTAAATAAAATTTACATTGATTTTTATCAATCATTAAAATATTTACTTTTAAAATATAATTTTTAGCATAAGCACTTTTTATATATTTTTAATAATAGGTAAATACTCAAACATATTGTTTTATATTCGTTAAACAACTTTTTGTGCAAAAATTTCAAAAATTTTAATTATAAAAAAAGATTGTACCATATTCTTCCGTGTTTTTTGGGACCGACAATTTTTATTATGCTCTTTAATTCGATAAAAAAAATAATTGTTCTATTTCAAACATATCTTGATTTGCATTCTATGCATGTCACATCTATTATCACTTGATTTTTATTAGCATTAATATTAATATTAAAATAATTGATAGATAATTCTTTTAATTATTACAGAAAAATGTACATTAAAACCAGATTGATTAGATCAATTCTATTTTTTAATTCTACCAGAGAATTAATTTGCCATTTCTAAATACATATTATTTCAGCCAACATTGCGTCATGCGTTCTTTTTATTATTAAACATTTTTATTGATTTCCTCGCCTACAACTTTCTTGGGTTGTATCAATTAACTGTATAAATTAATAGTAGCAAATTGTCGTTTACTATTTTATTTTCACGTTTTAGCACGTACGTGTATAAGTGTTTGTCATATTTCTAACTACAGATCGTTATAATTACAGACGTTCTCCGATACGTAAACTGATCTGTCGTATTACTTTTGAGTTTTGTTAATACTTAAAACGCGATTATGTCCAAAAACGTGCGAAACGTCGCCTTTACAATAACATATATATCAACAATTTACATATCGCTACTTACAGTATCAATCACACACGACGATATTAGAGGATTTAACTTTCCGCTTAAAGAAACAAAATAGAAACATGAAATAATCACAAAAAAAACATTACGTAAACAAATAATGTCGCATTCTTACAAATTATGATACAGCCTTATAGTAAAAATAATAAAAATAATTCAGCACATGTGTAATACGACAGACAGTCAGGTCAATCTATATGTTGCGATATAAACAAAATCCACTTCGCATTTAAGCTAATAGATGTTATTAAACAGATTTTTCAATATTTTTAATAAAAACTTTCGAATACCCTATGACATACCCATACAATTGAACATACTTTTTTATTTACTTACTCTTTTTATCATATTCCTCGCCTTCATTATCCGCTGAATGTACACGTGCAATAATAATAATAAAAATAATTAAACTGAGAATAATAATATAAAATAATAATAATAATAGTAGCAATCGTATTAATAGTAGTAGTTGCAGCAACAGCAGCAGCAGCAGTAGTAGTTGTTGTAATGCGGTAGTATATATCTAACAATAGCAATAGCAGCAACCGTAATAGTAATAATAATTGTACTAACAATAGTAGTAATAACAGTAGAGTAGTAGTACTGACGAGTATTACTGCAATAGCAATAGTAGTCAATGATAATGATAGAGATAATAACGCTAACAAAGATATTAACCAGTAGTAAAAGCGGTAACAATAATAACAATGCAACAAAGAAGAATAGCAGTTGCAAATAAAACAAGTCGAGTTAACGCCTTAATAGCGGTAGTTTAACAATGATAATAAGTTGCAGTAGCAATTATGATGATTGTGATTAATAACAGCCAATTCCTTACAACGGAAATGACAAATTACTTGTTTCTTTCTTCCTTAATATGAAGATAGTTTTTCTTAATAAGAAAATAAAACCAACATATGTGAAAAATTTTCAATCAGAAAAAAATCAGAAATTCTATTAAAGTTAAGAAGTCAAATGATCGTAATACAACTACTACTACTGAGAATATTATTGAATATTATTACTACTATTACTACTATTGCAGTTACTATTACTATTATAGCTATCATTATTAATATTATCATTACTGTAATCGCGCTTACTGCAAACATCAGCAACTATTACCACTGCTACTTCTACTCCTACACTACTGTTACAACGCTGCTGATGATAACAACCCAGCTGTTGTTGATGCTAATGATCGAAGTGGTAATAGCCATCGCGATAATGGATGCTTACGATAAAAACTCGATTCTCCAGTATTCATATATTATGCTCGAGTATGGCCGGTCGTTATATTAACGCTAATGTAAATGTGTTTTTACGAATGCAAATATATCAGAACTTTGCGTCTATAAGCAAAACCACTTCCACATATTCGCATAGAAACACACGAGTATCTCACGTTGCTATCGGCCATATTCATGGCAGGATCAATAAGTAGGGATAAATTACAACAGCATGTCGTACGAGTACTGGAGAATTAAGACGATAACATAAGAGAGAAGCATTTACTACTGCTTTTGAGACTCCAACAGTTCCTTTTCATTTCTTTTTCTTTTCAATATTGTATACGTTGCCCGTCGAGGGGCTCTTGGTGAGACTTTACCAAGGATTCGTTTCATCGCAAAGGAATTGCAGCCTCGTGTCTACTTCAAGCGTCGTGACTTCGCTGTCGATTTACATTACACTCATCATTATGGTGGCTTTCTTTAGATTTCTCAATGACTTAGAGAAAAAGATATTCGGGATGAAAGGGAGTAAATCGCAATCTTATTCTCTTCCTAATCAATATTCTCTAAATTCATTGAAGTGTTGACTTTTCTTTTTTTAACAAGCCTACGTATTAAGTGTCCCTTCCTCTAATACATGTTTTCACTATTCACATACAGACATATCACGAATACGACATGAAAAAATTCTCAGAGTTCAAGGATTAGTGGTCGTCAGCGCGACTGGCAGTATATCATGTTTTTTGTCGACAGTTTAATGTCTTATCTCAACGGCGCCTGGAGCTTTCTCGCGAAAATCAGGCGAGAGTGGGCGTGGCCGCGCTATCTTTGCTGAATAAATCTGGCAACGATAGACTCCTGTGAATACTACTATTTATTTTCATCGGGCTTTATCTTTATAACAAAGCTGTAACTGCAACGAAAGCAGAGAATATACAATCCTTTTTTTTTTGTTTCGTACGTTGCGATAGTAGTTTAGATTGCGGTTCGATCCAACATAATCTTTCCTAAGCGTGAAAAGACGCGACGCGTTAATATCCATATGGCTTTTCACGCTTCACAAGCAGTATCTTATACACCTAATGATTGAAATTCGTCGCGGGTAAAGCTAGATCATGACGATCTGCGCGATACCTATAAACAGTTTCCTATTTCAATAAATCGCGCAAGTCTCGCCGTGACCTCGCATCATCGACAAAACGACCAATATACATGGAGCTTCTCCTTGTCGCGATACATAGAAGCGACGTAGTCATGCGTAGATCCGATCTGTAGATACGATCTTAATCGGTAAATAATTCCGTTTCTTATTATTCGAATAAAACGGTGGACTTTGTACCCCCGCTTGTTCAAGTTCCCCTTTAATGCTACATACGAAATTGCAATAATTTTTAACTTTTCTTCGCTAATTGCTCTCTCGTTCTATCTCTCTCTTTCTATCGTACTTTTTCGCTCGCTCTCTTTCTGTCTCTCTTTCTCTCTGACGTGATCAAAAACAAAACGTGTCTCATGCGTCCTAAGACGTGCATTAATCGTTTGCTGCAGATTGATTCCAATCTAGGTACAGAGAGATAAATATGCAATATGTGTATATATATGTATATATATATATGTATATATACATACATATATATACATACATATATATATATATTTATATATATTTAGATATAGAGTCCGTGCAAATCATTTTATCTCACTTTTCATCGCAGAAACGACTTCACAAACATGACTCCTTAACGTGTAACGATACAGAACATTTCTTTACGCAATTCGTGTCTGCGATCGATTATCTAACATTCCACTCGACGACGGCACATTTTTTTTTCTTCTTGAGTCAAGTATTCAAAAACGTTACACAACAATTTAAGTGTGTCACTTCTTTCCAACCATATTTCAGCGGTATCAATCAGCGCTCGTGATTAACTTGTTGCCATTCTTAAATATGTTCACGTATATTCGATATTATTCAATAATGGAAATGCTTAATAAAAGTCTTTTCGACCGCACAAAGACGAAAAGTTTGACGCTGTTGGAAATAAAGAACGCGAGGTGGTGCATGTATAAATAATGTTACCTCCCTACGAGTTTTCTTTTTTCGAAACAGCATGAGAATCAGAATTTTCATTTAAACTGATCTATTTTAACTGCTAGTCGATTATATATAAGTGATTTCGTAAACGAATTCCAACGTGACACTACGTGCTTCTTTCCTCGAGAAAACAGAAAAGCACGTTAGTCTTTGCCCTTATTTTTTTTCGACGAGATTATATCAAAGGTTAATCAAAGAAAGATGTTTTTTTTCCCCACAAATGGAAGAGCAAGTGTTTCACCTTCACGTATAATTCACGTTCACTCGTTTTGCTGATTCACTTCCTCCTTATTGTTATCACTATCTTGCTGGTTCACATTGGACTTGTTGCCCCCGGATTGCGTTCCAGAAGGACCATCATTCATCTTGTCATTATGATTATCAGATTTGTCAGTTGAATCCATTTTAACGTTTCCTAGAAAAAGAGAATAAATTTGTTAATCATATCAATCACATTAATTATATTAAATACACAGATATATTTTTAGCTTCTGCATCTGTGCATTCTGTATTAATGTTTTTACATACATACCTTGAGATGAGTAATATTGCTGCTGCATCTTCATATTACGTTGCTGCTGCTGCTGTTGTTGCTGGTGTAAATTCGGTCTATGACGGTTAATTTGAGCTTGTTGCTGCTGTTGCGTTGGCATACAAGCAGGCTGCTGCTGCGAGGGATTATTTGGACCCGGAGCGAATGGTACTACGGGTCGTTGTATGGGAGGTGGGTATCGCTGCTGTGAAGGTTGGATGCCAGCACGCGGCGGCATACCCATTCCACGTACATTCTGTTGTAAAACCTACAGATTTATATAGGGAAGACGATTTATAGAATGTATATTGTATAATTTTTCAAATAAAAATTCAAAAAATTAAATTTATGATATTTATAGTGTATGATTCTTTCCTGTGTATCTGAGTTTTCTTAATGGATTTTACTTGAAAATTCTTTTGTAACACAGCCAGCCTTTATGTATTGCATTTATGCTTATGCATAGCGTTGGAATCGATATGGATATCGTATTTAATTTAGATTATTTCTTTACTTATTTTTTTACTAATGGAAAAATTTTTCACATATTGTGTACGTTTAAGTTGTAAATGAGATGTTGCATGCAATGATATATAAGTGATAATTTTAATGAATAAATGGTACATACGTAGTTATTGTAGCTGCTTACCAGAGCAGACTGACTAACGCCCTGATATTGCTGATATTTGTGATGTTGCGTGGGACTCGGTTGTGGTTGTTGTGACGAAGATTGTTGTTTGCAATTTCTCGATTTAGGCGACGGTATTTTGAGGAGCTACAAATAAATGATTTTTTACTGCCCAAGTTGGACAGATTGCATAAATAATCTCCACCGAAAAAGTTTTTAAAAAAAATCACGAATTTCTATAATCTTTATATTTAAAATAAAATTCCTTCAGGACTTTATTATTTATCAAATAAAGTCGCTTAATAACTAAGGAATCTATAATATTGGTTTACATTAAGTTTTTGAATTGATGAAAAACTTACTCGAGCTAAAAACTGACGCGAGCACGTCTTGTTGATTTCCCGACGGACTCTTCAACTGTCTGGGCTGCTCCTGCGGTTGGTGCTTGCTGAGAAACGTGGGTCCCGCATTTCCTGGTCCCGGTAAACCGCCAGTAGGATTGCGAAATTGCTGAGCCGCCGCGGCTATTTGCAATCCTGAACTAGACAAGAAACCAGGACCGTAGTTTTGTAGACCGACCGGGGTTGCACTGCCCGTTGCCAGGCTTTGACTGTGCTGCCCAAATCCTTGCAGACCGTAATGAGTTCCAGTTTGTTGAGTGGCACCGCCGGACTGATAGAAGCCCGTTTGCGATCCAGGAAACACGTCTGAAAATATATCGAGATTCGAATTTATGCGCATTTGTCTTACTATTAACAGCACTTCAGACATATACGATTCTTTTAATAATTATAATTTATTATAACACAGCTCTTATCGCGCTTTTAAATTGTATAGAAATAAAAGGTAACATGTACAATATATTTATGAATTGAATATTTATTATTTATAAAATAATGTAAAATTTACCGGCAGACGTAGCGCTGTAGTAACTATTGGCAGACGCTTGGACATTTGGACCAGGTCTCTGCACTAATTGCGAATTGCCCATGTAACTGCCGCTTACGCTGAGCACTTGATTTGGATCGTACGGTATGTAAGTCAACTAAAAATAAAAAATTTTGTTTCCAGTACACTTATATTGTTGATTTCATTGCGCTAAAATGAGTTTATAGAGTGAAATTATACTTGATTAGGTTGAGGAGCAGACGGTGTCTGAAAGTGCGGAGCTTTAGTTCCAATAGCTCCAATTGGTTGCGACGACGGTTTCACACTTGCCGACATTAAAGAATTTGACGACGAACTGATAAGTACCGTGTTAGGGTTGTTACTGAGCTGTTGGTTCTGTCCGAATGGAGGAGCGGCTGCCGCAGTCTATCCGAGAAAAATTTATTATAGAGATTAATTTATTATTTATTATTATAAAGAGATTAAGTTATTACTCTTATTACAAATATCTATATTACATAAACGAGAGATAACAATGTTTTATTTAATAATTTTTATAAGAATTTTTTATAAGAATTTTTATAAGATCTAATAATTTATATAAAATGAAGATTTACGCACAATGCGGTATTGAGACAAATTGCTCTGATACATCTCCGGTGTGGGAGCGTTCGGCGCGTGGGGCGGCGGTGGCGGCGGTTGTTGCAAGTACACGTTCTGTTGACTGAACGAGCTCTGGAGGGACGGAGCGTACGGCGTGTACTGCGTGAACGGTGATCGGCTTTGATCTAATTGGAACGCTCCGTACAAACCGCCGGCTTGAGCTGGCAGTTGTCCCGAGCCTGTGTTGAACAGCACCGCCGGTGGCGACGGTATGGCCGACATGCCGCCGTATTGCGCAGCTTGTGAACCGGGATATTGCGGGAACTCCTGGAAAAGCAAGACAAGATTGTTATTCTCGATGTTTGATCTTTTAAATATCAGTTTTTGAAATAATAAACGATAAGAATGTGACGCACCTGATAATTGATGTGCGAAGGCTGGCCTGTAGAGTTGAACGGAGGTGGGCTTAGAGGACCTTGGAGGCTAACGGGAGGATGGCCGATGGGACTTTGACCGGCTCCGATGGGACTTGGCCCGGGCACGGTAGATCCCGGTTGCGTGCCACTGCTCCCCGAAGACTGTTGCTGCGGCTTCACCTGCGGGGGAACCAGCTGCGCATCAGGCAAAGAGTCAGCATCTTCCCACAAGGGACATTGTATTTCAATATTTACAGTTGCTATATACATCATGTCAACAGCCATTTTCAACAAACATTCGTCGATCACAAATGAAAAGTCGTTCTGTATTGCAAATCTGGTGAAAATGAACAGGTTTCTTCGTAGTAATACACGTACCTTGCTTCATTAATTGATAATTATGAAAATCATAATGATGATATAATGAGCAATGATGATGATAAAATGACAACCATGAAAAAAATATAATAAAAGTCCCTAATCAATTGTTAATAATAAGAAACAAAAACAATGATTTTTATCGAATCGATATTGATCATCGACAAGTGGCTGATTAAGAGGTCAGAGATGTTAGCCACTTACCTTTCTCATTTTCACCACACTTTTACTAGACAGAAACTCTCAAACGAGGACAGAAAGTATTAAGAAAGCGATTAATTGTGACAATAACAGTAATAATAACAATTAATGCAAATAAATAACAGAGAAATTGACGTGACGTAAAACAATACTATCGCATGCACGATAGAACAATGACAGCAAATAATCGCGAAATGATTTCTCACCTTGCACACGTTCGTGGATGTCGTGATTTCACTTTTCATATTGTTCTGACTGTACTGCTGGTGCGGGCTGTAACTGTCGTCGACGTCGCCGCTCTCAAACGCCTGCGGGAAACTGGTCGCACTGCTGACGACGCCGCCGCCGTCCTCGTGCTCGACGACGGTGGGCATCGGCGGCGCGTTCTCCCAGACCTTCTTCACGGACGCGATCTTCAGGTTTAGTTCCGCGGTCGACGGCGATATCGTGCTCTGGCCACCGGCTATGTGCATGGAGCGCGTCATGCCCAGGCTCTTGCTCTTGTCGTCCGTCAGCTGCGAGAGATCAGAATCGAATGTGAAGTCCAGTTTCATGTCGGCGCTGTCCTCGTTCTTATTGAACGACAACGGCATCTGGATGGGCTCTTGATTCTTGTCCTTGATCAAGTCGTTCGGTTTGTTGGAGAACGCGACGGAGAGCGCTTGTTGCTGATGTTGCACCTGGCCGCTGCCGTCCTCCTCGATATCCGCACGCTTCTCGGCTCGCTGTTGCGTCTTGATGTGATTCGAGAACTTTGATTTCACCGCAAGATCCGTCGGTCCGGTGGTTTTCGTGGTTTTCGAGTAATTCGTGTTCTCGAAGATGAGAGTTTGTACAGGTGGCGACGACACGTCCGACACGTTCTTCTCCGCTAGAGCCTCCTTCAGATTCTTCCCGGTCTTCTCGCCGCTCGGTGAGTTCCGCTGGCTGCTGTGTCCGGAGTTCGCCTCGTTGCCCTCGTGGCTGTGATCGTTCTGCGTCGTCAAAGCGGACATCAATTGAATGTCCGCGGGCACCGCGGACGGCGAGTTCGAGCGCAACTGGCTGGTGAACGGCTTGTCCCAAGCGTTGACCGCCGGTGGCGGCGCCGGGCTGTTGGACGAGTCCTTCGCGTAAGTGTTGCCGGCGCTGTTCAGCTTACTCATGTCACCCGCGTCGGTCACGCACATTTGCTGCTGCTGCTGCTTCACGAGACGCTGGAACCGCGGTGCGAGTCTTGGATTTCTCGAATTCCTATTGTCGTACTGCTTTTGCGGTATGTTCGCCGGCTGCGGTATATTCTGGCCGAGCAGGGGCGGGATATTCTGCACCTGTTGCAAGACCTGCTGCGATCCATTGGACTTTGTTTTCGAACGATCGCGTTCGCGTTCCTTTTCCTTATCCCTCTTCACGGGCTTCGCCTCCTCTTTCTGACTGTGCCTGGACTCCTTTACGTTCTTCTTCGAGCGCACTTCCTGGAAACCGTCGGCGTCCACCTTGTCCTCCGCCGCGACATTCCCGGCATCCTCCGTGCAACTACTCGTCTCGATTTCCGAGTCCATTAGCTTCTTGTCTTTCGTCTGCGACTTTTTGTTGAGCTCGTTCAGCGCCTGATTCACTAGGTTCGGGTCGGCAAGTTTGATCTCATCGATGCGATTCACCATACTATCCTTGTTGCTCGATTTATTCGTGACTGCACCGCTGTTGGTCGAACTCTGACTCCTGGACCTTCCGCCGTTCTGTATCTGCGCGTTTTGCATCAAGGGCGGTATGCTGTCGGCGTGATTCTTCTGAGCGCTGAACCCGGCGTTTTGCAGATTTCGCTTCTCCGCGCCCGGGGCTCGCGACGCCGGATTGGAAGACTTGGGATTTTTCTCGCGCTGCTCTCGAGCGTTCGCCGACTGCTCGCTTCTACGGGAATGCACATTTGTGCCGATCGCATTTTGATTCGTGGCTTGGATAGCTCGTCCACCGAAATGTTTGTTGCGACTGTTTCGGGATTCCTTGTGATCATCTATGTGCTCTTCGCTATTTTCCGACGTGGTTTCCCAATCTTCGTTGCCTACGTCCGACTGAGGCTGCTTTGATACGTTGCTACTGCTGCCACGCGAACGAGCTTCACGACTATCTCTCCCCTAGAAAAAAAAACATTGTATTATTAAAGAAAATGATATATGTTGTTGTGTACTAAATCTTTGCACATAAATAAAATTCTAAATAAAAATTTAAAAATATAGATTAATACATTTATGTTCGATATTTATATTCCACTTTTTACCATTTTTTAAATTTTATGCAGGAAATATAACAGAAATTTGATTTGCATCAATTTTGAATTTTAAATTCAGTTTTTTATATCTAGATTTATACACATTTCCCTCTTGTATTTTTAACAAACTTTATACTTTTGATTAAAATTTTTAATTAAAAAAAGAAATTAAAATTTTAAATTAAGAAGAAAAAATTTAAATAAAGATCGTATGTTAATTATTAGATATGTATGAATAGAAATTTAAAAATATTTCGCAAATGTTGACTTAATATCCATGTTTCATAATTCATATGCCATTTACAATTCCAAGAAAAATATACCGAAAATTTAATTCATATTAATTTAGAATTTTTAATTCTATACGTAAATTTATAAATGTTTTTCTGATATTTAAAAGTTTTAGATTGTTTAAATTTTTTGATAAAACGTGTAAACAGAAGATAATATGTTAAATTATCATTAATTTTAAGAGTCTGTGTGAAATAATAATAAAAAAAAAAAAAAAAAAAATTAATAGATAATTATACGTACTCTTCTGCTTCCACTGCGAGTTCTCTTAGAACGCGAGTCATCCTTTCGGATTTGCGCTTTCTGGGACGGGACGGCAACTTGACTCGCTTCCTGTTTACCAGACTGTTGAGTTTGCTGACTCGGAGATTTGTTACGTCTGCCTGTGATACCCGCCGTGAGCGCCTGTTGCTTCGCAATTATTTTGTCGTCAAGAGACTCGACTGGCGCGGATTGCAGGAGACTCGTCTCTTTCTCCGAAGTCGGTGTCGGTGGATTTTGTCGTCCAACGTTCTGCTGCTGATGCTTCTCGTCCGCATTACGTTCCGACGAGAACGGGCTCTTGCTAGACGGCGGTCCGTAGCCTTCCATGCGACTGCCCGTCGCTGTGTTTCGTATGCGAAAACCGCCTCTGCCGCGGCGGGACGGCTCGCCGGACGGCGCGAAAGCCTCGTGGCTGGGCTTCCCGTCGTACGCTCTCTTCTCACTGCGCGCCTGAGGATAGTCGGCGCTACGCTTGTCGTCGCGTCTCGACACCTCGCGATTTCGCTCGTCCTTCTCAATCTTCTGTGACGGTTTTGGCGAGCGAGCCGAGCGTTTATCCTCCTTGCCGGACTCGGTAGAGCCGGACACCTCGTCGGCGCTGTTCTCGGAATCGGTATGTCCGTAGGAACCGCTCTTGGCCGATAATCCGGATTTGCCAGCAGGTCGCGGACCGCCCCTTCGTCCTCTGGACTCTGGACCGCGCCAGCCGCGTGTGTAAACACTGAAAGTTCCTCCCCATTGACGTCCGCCTCGGGATTCGCGGACTCTGGAGCTGGAGCCGCTACTCGTTCTGTTACGCATATTCTTCTCGCGCTTCTCATCCTTGAGCTGCTGCTCCTTGGCATCCTCGGTGACGGCCTCCTCCCGCTTGTCCAAAGCTGGCTTATCCAAAGAACTCTGCTTGATCTCGTCGCCTTCCTTGCCGTCTTTAGCAGCTTCCGCCAATTTCTCCTCTTCCTTCTCAAAGGTCGGCGATATCGCGTCGGCCCACGCCTTTGGCGAATTGTCGCATCTCTCGATCTGCCTGCTCTCTGGAGTCTTTCTGTTCCAAGCATCCGCGTCTTTCTTCACCTCGACGGAGCTTTCCTTCGGCTGATCCTTCTTCTCTTGAAGATCGGAACCTCGCTTCAGTTGAGTCAGGCTGCGCTTCTCGTTCTTCAGTTCGTCCGCTTCGATCTTCTCCTTCGTTACTGGACCGGGTGGTTGCCTTCTATCTCTGTCTCGCTCTCTTTCTCTGGTTTCCTCGTGGTAGTCTCGTTTCTTCTCCTCGTAATCCGAGACCTCGCTTACCCAATCACTCAATTTATGCAGATCGTCATCGCGCAGGGACGTTTTAGATTCTCTAGAAGCGCGACTGTCGCGCGAATCTGGTCTCTGCGGGCGTTCGCTGCGCTCTTCTTTCGGCGCATCCCGGCGACCTTCAATTTGTCCAATGCTGCGTTCATCACGCCACTCCGAGCTCTCGGGGCGCTCCCGTTGCTCGCGCTCTCGCTCGTCGAAAGAGTCCTGCAGAATTACCAAATATCAAAGTTTTTATTCACGCTAGATACAACCATAATTAAAATACGCCAGGTCAATAAATATCAGTGAGAGATTTATCGTACATCGCGCAAAATTTTATTTCACAAATTTTTACCTTCGAGTAATCGTATTCCTTCTTTTCCTTGTCGCGGTCGCGTACGTCTCTCACATCCCGAGCGTCACGGCTGGTGGGACGAGGATCTTTGACGTCACGACCGTCTCTCGAGTCCAGATTCTCCTTCGGATCTCGTTCCTTGTCGTCGAAGTGTCTCTCGCGTTCCCAAGAATCGCGAGGGTGTCTATCGTCGTATTCGTAATCTCTAAAACTGCGGCTGTATTCGTCGTAATAACCACCCGGTTTACGGCTGTCGTAAGACCGATGCGAAGAGTGGCGATAACGATCCTCCCTTGACGACGGTGCACCACCGCGATGATCTCGAGACGGAGGTCGTTCGTCGTCTAACGGTGCCGACGTATCCGAATCGTTCCTGTTACGACGTTGCGGCGGCATAGACTGCTTCATACCGCTATCTACTAATACAAGTTTCATTGAATATAATGCATGATTCTTTAACATTTCATTGATTAGAAAGTAACAATTAAAGATTTCAAAATAACTTACAGACAAATATCAAGGATTGTCTATGTTCAAATATTAAAAATATACTTTTAAACAAAAATCTAAAATAATATCGCACACAGTTATTTTCTATTAAAATTCTACTAAACTTTTTTATTCGCTAAAAATTTTCTTACTTGTACAATTGGTGTGCTTTTTAGTTGCAAAATAATGATTCTTAATAATCATTTTTTTACAATCATTAAAATAAAATGTTGTAATATAAAAATGTCTCATAAAACTTACTCAATGAATTGTAATTGTGAAGCCATCTACCAGGATCATATTGCTGAGAGAACGGAACGGACTGAGAAGCAGATCTTTCCGCGCTGGGTGAAATTCGGCTAAAATTCGCACTGCTCCGCTCCGCCTGCTGCTTTTGAAACCTGGGCGGCAGGTTATTCTGAAAGTGTCGGGAGAACGCCGGCTGCTCGCGATCTCTCGAGTCCCTTTGATCGCGATCACGATCGCGCTCTCTTTCGCGCTCGCTGCGCACTGTGTCTTGCTGACGTAAGAAACCTTGCCGATCGCTCTGACGGAAATCCGCCAGTCCTTGATCGCGGCTTTCTCTAAGACCATCGCGAGCCTCGCGTCCGGACGCGATGATCTTCTCATCTTTGCCTTCGGACGAAGTACGGGATCGTTCGCGATCTCGATCTCTGCTCTCTCGCTCCCGATTCTCCTTCTCCCTTTCCCATTCGGGTATCGGAAGAGGCACAGGCGGGATGCTGATCAAGCTTTTAGGCTCACCGGATTGCGCACGTTCATCGTCCTTATTATGCTTCGCCTGCTTCTCTTTCAGTTTCTGTTCCAAATCCTGTAGTTTCTTAGCTGCCGCTTGTTTCGTCGATTCCTGGAAACGTTTCTCCTCTTCCTCCTTGCGTTGTCGTGCACGTTCGACAACGGACGCGACTTCAGACTTGATTCGACGTCTCTCGCTCCATGTCTCATCATCTTCGACACCTATTTACAGAGATTTAGACGTTAGAGATGGCTTGAACAAATTGTAATATTTTTGTTTAATTTTATATTACGTTTAATTTGAGAATTATATTGACCTCTCAAAGAGTGCACAGAGTGCAATTGCGATTGATTGGCGTAGCCGCCACCACTCGGACCGTTCGATCCGCGATAATCGCGATTCACAGGTTGAGTCCAAGGACGATGTGGCGGATCCCGAAGCTCCTTCAAGTCTCGGTTGTCTCGCTTCTCCTTCTCTTCCATGTTATTATCATCGCCCTTTTTCTCCTTCTCTTTTTTCTCGTCGCTTTTCGATGGATCTGCATCGGCTTCATCGTCGCTAAAGGCCAATTTTTGGTTATAATCAATATCATCGTGCGCGGCCCATCCGGCGTCACGTGAAATATCATCCATACGAGTAAGATCTTCCTCCTTGATGATGGGTCTAGTCAGAATCTCTTCCTCAGCCACACGATCGCCGCGTTGAGGAGGCGGAAATCGATCCAAAGGATGATTGAATCTAGGTCGGGGGCTATTTGATCCGGAATTCGGTGGAAATTGAGAAGGAAATCCACCCGGAAAATTCGATCTATACATCTGCAAGCGCGAGACAATACATTTGTTATCACAAATCCAAAAAAAAAAAAAAAAAAAAAAAAAATCTATACAAATTCGAGATTGCAATAATAAACTCACAAACGGCGGGATAAGTCCCCGGTAGTGATGCAAATTTGGCCCAATTTGATTTGAACCGGCAGCAGGCGCAGAACCTTGATTATTTACGGCGTTATGCTGGCCTCCCGGGCCCGCGCCCGTGTTGGGCGATTGGCCCAAGTTCTGCCGCCCTCCACCGGGTCCCTCCTGGGTGTGTCCTCCGGAAACAGGTATATTTAAAGGGAGGCCCTGGCCCGCCGGAGTATTCCCATTTCCGGGACCAGCCGGTGTTGCTGGCGCTGCGCCACTTGCAGTGCGACTCCCACCTTGAATCCAGCTTCCTTCCGCTACAACAATTTCAATCGCGGTAAATTAATTGTACTTTCAACTCGGACGATACCGATGGTGAATTAAACGCGACACGTTTATTAGCGCAAAAGGAAGAGAATTTGCACAAATCTAGGCTTTTGTAATAAACTCACTCAAATAGCGATAGAATTCTACATTTATGAATAGGGGAGTTTCTTATTACATAGTAAGAAACTTACTCTGTGGACGCAGGCTCGGCCCTGGACCATATTGCGCATTTAATTCTCGATTTGATTGCTGTTGACTTCCCGGCGTCCCACCTACGTAGTTTATTCATTGTATTAGAAAGGTGAGAAGAGATAAATAATACATTGCGTACTTCAGTACCTAGAATATATATAATAACAGTAACATATCAACTGACGAATTAACGAGATACGTGATAAACAAGATACACGCATGCTCGCACGCGGTTATTTCACAGAATGTGCTTAAGAAACTTTCCCACGTACGTAATAACATGCTTTACAAAGATAGTGCCCTGGATATAGCAAGGAACTTAATAACATAAATAAATCATAGAAGTGCTGAAAAACTCGTAAAGTAAATCATCGTCTAATTTATTGATCTAAAATAAACAAAGAGATAAACCGTGCGAGTTGGTAGAACGTGTACCAATTTCATCTTAGCATGTAATTATTGTAATTGGAACAATATGTACGTTTTTAAGATCGATCAAATCATAACAATAAAAATAATTCGGATTCTTATTTTATCGATTTTTTTATCTATCGATATAAAACTTAATAAATTATAATAACGCTGCGATAATCATGTGCGCTGAAGTGATGCTCGAGAATAATGTAATGCTGTTGAAATCATTTCTTCCTGCATATAAACGCATAAACTTATACAAGTGAAACATTAAGTAATATGATGAATAGAACGTCATAACAGAATTTCACAGTGTAATGCTTTGTCATGGTGCGATTTTTGAAAAAATATGCAGAAATGGGGTAAGATAATCCAAACCTAAAAGAAATTTACTCAATTAAGAAGACAGAAAATACACGTCTCTTGACATTATGTACCAATCTCGATTCTTTGTGTATGTTCTATTAAATTCACACTCTGGAATTGTGAAGACAATAATATGTAAGAAATAACGTACGAGATTCGGTACATATTGTAGTGCTATTTAACAATTTTCTACAAACGTACATAATAATGCAGAGATAAACATTTATAGTCAAGTCAATCTTCTACCTATCTCTAACACTATAACACGAGTTTGAAGATTTTTTAACGAATTATGCAAAGTGTGAAGCCACAAGTTAGAATTTCATTACTATTGATAACGTTAAGTCTATATAAACTACTCCATATAGAAAATCACAATATTTATCAATCTTTATAGATAAAAAAATTAATTTTATAAAAACTTGCACTCGCAGAAAATATCACTAATTAAATATTTTTAACGCACATCTATAAAATGATTCTTTTAAATATCATATATGCATTTTAACGCAAAAATCACAACTTCAAAGTTTTTTATGCAGAATAAAGTATATAACAAAAATAAAACAGTATCTAAATAATAATGACATTGGCCATATGCAAATATCACTGCCGAATAAAAGACTTGAAAACGATATCATGAACTGCAATTGAACAAATGTTTTCACTTAATAATGTACGACTGTAATTAAGATTTTTAACTTAACGTACAGACGATCACAAAGTGACTTAATTGCATAGTTTAATGAGACATTAATGATAGAGAAAAAAGTTAAATAACGGAATGCTTTAGTTCTCTCCAGATTCTATTGTATACTTAATTTAACTTTTCGGAATAACAATAACTTGTAAGGTTTTACAATTATATTTCGATTCTTCAGTTCATCTAAAAAATTTTACAGTCTTTGTGAAAACAAGTTAAACAAATCCAAGCTGCTAATTGAAACACTTAGCACTGCTTATGAAAGTTTGATTATGAATTATTAATGATATTGATGTAGCAGTTAACGCTAATCTAAGTTAGATGAATTTTCTTTGTCTATGGTCACTAATAGAATTGCAGTGTATGTTTTTTGAAGTCAGACTGTTCCACCAATAGTTTTTAAGAATGCAAATGAGCAATATTTTGTGAAACATCCAGTGTGTAGATAATCTACTGTCTCTTGTATCAAATTTTTACGTCATCGTTTGCCTATGTAGAATCAAGAATACACATGCACCACGCGTTCTTGTACGTTTTTCACGATACGCTAAATTTTCATCATGAACAAATGTAATTTAACACCGATTATCAAATCTATGCAGCTTCCATCTTCCTCGGAATGTAATCGACTTAATCAGAATGCAATCTTAAAAGCCACCACGGGGAGAAGCACAGAGAGCACTACTGGCAAAGAGGTAAAAACTTTGAATCTAGCAGCAACAGGCAAGCAGCACCCCACCTGAGTGGTTGTGGGAATACGGCTGTTGCTGTAGCAACGATTGGTGAACCGCGACTGAAATTGCATTGGATGTTGTTGAGGACTGTTGAGTCTGGCTCTGAGTGGAGACGGAGGCGGAGGGCTGTCCACTGAGACTGGGAAACTCGTGTTGGAACTGCGGGGACTGGTGGGCGAGGAAACTCAGTCCAAGGGCACCTCTTCCCCCTTTCGCGCCCCCCACGAGCCCCGCGTAACCAACCACTGCTGCCACAATGGGCGTACCTATTTTAATTAATTGCGCCACCGAAACGATACCACGCCACTTACACTTTACTTCATGCCCAACGTCCAGAAATGGATGTCAAAAAGGATATCTTATGTATACGTATCGCGTAATGCTGACCGATTATTGTTACATCCTATACCATGACGTGCCATTATCCGTCAACTTAGAGTCTTTGTCATCCTTTATCAATCCAACTCTGGACATCTCTAAAGTTTCATGATACGACAAGTGTGTTTATATTTCAATAAATTTTGATTCCAAATCAACAATGTATGCAGCATCATTATAATAGTATTACACAAATCAGTTGTGTGTAGATTATACATTGAGCAGCAAACCACTGCTTTGTAGATTCTTTTTTTTTCTACAAATATGAGAAACATGTATTTGCACATTTCTGATTGGCATTGGTACATCATACTATTTGCACAATATTGTATCAATTATACATTAATATGTTGATATTAATGTATGATTAATACAATATCGCGTATATTAATTATACATTAACTCTCAATCCTGATAGACAATGCTATCAATTAGCGTGTCAAAATAATAGAAATTTATATTCAATCAAGAATCGTGATATTTACACAACTCATACGTGCCGTCCCCGCCTACAGTCGTACTCTTTGCTTGTAGATAGAGGCGGCTACATACGTCTACAGATAAAAAATGAAGCTTTCTTGTCCTGTGATCGTGATTTATTAGATATCGATAGAAGTTTTTGGACGTTAGAAGATTTTGAAAATCGTTAACATTATTTTGCTTTAAGCATACATGCTCGCTTCTGGATTAAGGATTTTAAAACTGAATCGAGGGAACAGAGAATGTGAAAAATATGAAAAGATAAATAACTCAAAAGCCTCAACATTCTATCTCTATCAATGTTACGTATCACATGCCAACAGCGTTAGTATGAGCTATATGTTTTGCCACATACCGTCTCCTGATCTGCTCATAATCGCGCTCCATGATGATTTGTTGTTTGTTTGATCCAAAAAAGGAGGTTGTGATGCATTTTGTTGTCCCGGTAATAACGAGTGTAGGGATGTTGAAACAGTGGTCCCTGCTGCGCATTGTGCTGTTGAAGAGACAGTCTGCAAGGAAATATTAGTTCCAATAAGTACAAAATTAATATTCTTATATTTATATCCATTCATGCACTAGTTTTTATTAAATAACATTTCTAGAGACAATATAGTAATGATTTTAACTGAATTATAAAATTAACCTATGGCAAATCAAACAACAGCACAATGATACTAGAATACTAATGAGATGATACTATGAGGAATTTTGAAATAATTTGTTTTTTTTTTACAAAAAAATTATAACTTACAGTAGTATTATCGAGTGATGTTGCTACTGTGGTAGTAGTAGTGGTCGACGGTGTCGAGTCCTTAGTAGTAGCCCAACCACTTCCTCCACTTGGCACAAGACTGACAGCCGGATCACTGCTGCTAGTTTCACTTTTTAGACTGGGCAGATTAGCAGGAGGACGCCGTGCCGAAGGCACCTTTCCAAGACTTTGCATTCCATGTTTGCGCGGTAATGTGTTTTTTTGCTGATGCGGTTCCAAAGATTCACCCTACATGCAAATATTGGTTGGAAACATACAGCTAATTTGCACCATAGACAAAAAGCTTTTTTTCTCTAACATTTGCACAGATAAAATCTTGTGTTACTTCTAATGCTATATTTCATATCAAAAAATTATGCACACAATTGTGTATTACGTTGATTCATACATCAACATAAGATTGAAACAAACAGGAATATATATGATTGCTGATTAAGCAGTTAAAAAAATATATGATGCTAATACAATAAAAAATGATTGTTTAAATTATTTCATCTAATCAATCAAAACTTTAGAGATGATAAATACTATGAATAACAGCATCTCTCAGAAGAACAATAAGAGAAAGTAATAAAATGTTGACCAACTCACCCTACTCACCCGGTACAAGCTATTGATATCTAGTGATTGAAACTTGGATTTTCCTTTCTCCCCCTTCGACACAATCCCTGACAGAGTAGACATGCTGTCTGCACGCAACCATTTAGTACCAATCAGACCCAAAGAACGAACCCTTTGTCTGTAAAGATTATTTAGGTTCTATATCTTTCAATTGTACAAGCTAAAAAACAAGAAAAATGTTTATAAATATGTCTGTTATATAAATAAAATATTTTCTAAATAATTTTTATAGAATATGATCAAGTAAAGAAGCAAGTCACAATGTAACAATAATCATTGTAACATGTACAACACTTCACTTTAAGATACTTTTAAGCATCCTGCATTTTATATTATTCATAATAATAACATAATACAATAATTCTAATTTCAACATAATTTATCACAATTACATATGTAAGAGACAGAGAAGAACGTTTAAAACGCATATAACTTGAATAGCGCGTCAGAGATAAAGCAGACCTGAGAAGAAGCTTTGTTTGTCACGCTGTCAGAATAACCGCTGTGCCGCGAGAGAAAGAGCGCGGTAAAAGTGACAAAAATAACTCGACTCCGTCACTTTCCGTAGTGCCTTATCCGGCACTAACGAGTATCAACGAGCGCTGAAGAAGCGGGTAACGCACCCGTGTGCTCGGCGGCCCGATGTCAAAAGTGTCGCCGCAGGGGTCAACAATAGTCGAACGGGTCAACAATAGCCGCACGGAATGCCCGAATCGTCACGCACTGCGCGTCGAATTCCGTCGTGTCAGGCGGCCGCGCGAAAAACGCGATATCCGCGACAGTATTATTGCGAATCGGCCGTGCGATTAACGGTACCCTCTCGAGGGAAGAAGAAAGCATCAGCGAACGAATCATCGAGGTGGAAGGGGAAGGGGGAAAAGAGTATCGGGTATAGCAAAGCATCCACGTAGGAGAGTATTCGTCGCGGGTCCAAACAACGCCAGATCGACAAAATAACGACTCACCTTGGTCCGTCCAAATGGGTAACCAGTCCACAATGGGGTTAATTCCCGATGAAACTAGATTAGCACGCCGATCGCCGTGGATTCTTCCCCGATCGCGATGGATTATCGCACCGCGCCTTACACGGGGGGCGATCACAAGAAACTTCTTTTCCACACAATTCGTCCAAGATGGCGATTGCGCGACTTTCGGGGCCCTTCCTCCGCTCCGCGATCAATACAATTACGTCACGCACTTCGCCGAGGGGAACGCCGTGGCTCACAGACGCGCCACTCGTCGGCGGATCTCGTTTTGATCACCGCCTGATGCCGATGACGCCGCCGCCGAATCTCCACTTTTCTCACGCCCGTACGCTGCGTACGCGTAATCACGCGCGTGCTCGACAACGCGTAAGATTGCGGCTCTTTACACGGGAATCGAGTGAAATCCTCCGCGAAATTCTGTTTCGCTTTATCTCCCCGTCGTGCGTACGGCGACAGAATGCGAGACGTACGCTAGCGAATGATGCATACTTATGGCCGCTTGTGGCGCTGTAGCGGAAATTCCTTTGGCACGCACCGGAAGTCAAGTTCGTGACGCTGCGCGATTCTTTCGCCTAGAGTTTTTCAAGAGTTAGGGTCATTTTATAATACGTCGCAAATACCCCAGTAGCAAAGGATAACTACTAATGCTATTTCTGGTTATTTCTGGTAAGATGGCATCAGATTATGCAACTTGTTGCAGCAATTCGCAAGCGATCTAGTAAACTACTAAAATGCACCATACAGCACACAGTATTTCTAGTAATTTCCTAGATCTTTATAGAGCTCACTGATCCTAAGGGCTATTCTATAATGCATTGCAAATGCTCCATCTTACCAGAAATAACTAGAAATAGCACTTTTTAATTAGTAGTTGCCATCTTTCGCGACGGGACATTTGCGACGCATTGTAAAATGGCCCTAATTCATATAGCATTTTTAAGTGAACGGATTTTAGGGTTAACGGACTCATATAGTAGTGATTTAATTATATTGCTTCATAGTGATTCGTATATTTATAATATGTATTAGGATTTAAAATGGGTGTGATTTTAAATTGTTCATTAGGAATCGTGCATAGGTAAATGTCAATTTCAGATAATTATTATCGGTGCACAGATTATCAGTCACCTTTGATATTAAGTGCGCATGCTATCATAACATCACTTCTATATACAGTAGCGCAATTTTTTCCCGAAAAATATATTCTTATTAAATATATATGTTGCACAAATATCTCATTTTGTTATATATATATTTTTTATTTACATGTTTTACATTATGTGCTTTTATTATATGAATTACATTATTATATAACTTTATGTAATCTATTGTAGATTGACTTATTTTATTTATTTTTGTAACAAATTGGTAGGTGTAATTGAAGGCTCCGTTCAGTTTATTATTCTTTAGTTTTTCCTTTTAGATCTATCGCAGAACGTAAATAAAACATCTCGTTTTTATTTTATCTATTTATTTATAATATCTATCTATATATGTAATAATAACTTCATTGATTATGTGATACTTAACTTAAAAATTTTTCTCGCCAAAAAAGTGACATATTTTTAATATTTCACGACACCTAAAATATTAAATTGGATGTATCAAGTTTAATTGATAATTAACTAATTATTATAATATCTATAATTTGTCATTCTACAATCATTAATCATTTTAAGTGAGAAATAAAACGGACCATGTTTGTAACTGTTTGCCGCGTGGTTGGAGATTGATGTCAACATCTCCCACGATATCCACCGAGAGCAATAAAACGCTGATGCAGGATCCTTCGATCGGCGAAACAGCAAGAAAAAAGGAGTCTTAGATTTACCGGGTTTGCGATACCAGTGTGGCCCACTTTTACCCAGTAGCCAGTCTTATGTAACACGCTGCTCTATCCATCTGCTCGTGTAAAACTCCGTTAATGGAACCCGATGAAGAAATGACGGAATCCTTACCGAGATGCACAGCGAGAGATGTGATAATTCGCTAAAGTCTTATATGTCTTCTCGGCATGACGTTCTCGGCATGTTTTCCCAGCGACGATTTTTGAAAGTAAGTAATTCGTAATTGTATTATGCGCAAAATCTGTTGACCATGAGATTTAACATAACATTTTTATATGAGATTATTAAAAAATGCAATTAAATTGCATTTATATTAGAAACAAATATTAATTTTTATATAATATTTATTTTTAATGCGTGCTTCAGACAAATAAAATTCAAAAAATTAAACACGCACAGTGCTGAATAATAACTGAAGATTAGAATCGGTTCATATTTTCCTGCAACTTTATAACCACAATTATACAAACTTTGCACAACTTTTGTAATTCAAACTTAATATAATTCTAACTTTTAGTAACAATTATTTCCAAAGTAAATAAAGTATAAATAAAGAAGTTTAGAATTAAAAAATGTTATGTTTTATCACAATAACGTGTGTGCATATTTCCGAAAGAAATATTTTATAACTTTCAGTTACTAAGGAAATACAAGCACTAATTGATTCTCAATTGCATCGTATTGCAAATAGATAGGGCGCGAAAATTGATGATCTTATCAATTGTAAGTTTTCCTATACGGATAATTCGAGATGTATTTAATTCTCTTGGTAATAATGGACTTCGTTTAGATTACACAACGACATGCGAAAAGAATTACCGGACCGCTTCAACGTTATTTGTTTTTTTTTCCTATTCACAGCAAGCTAAGTGTGCATTTGTGCTAACTAGTTTAAGCAGTTACAGTTCTTTAAAGGAATTTTAAGGCTAAACGAGTTTTTCTAGAATACGGCATAAATTATAATTTACATTCGATCGACCGATCATTCGTTGTGCAAGATAGGTCGAGAACCTCTTTCATTTAAGATTTCACGCTGTCATTATTCATTACACCGGAGAACAAATAAACCGGTTTCGAGAAGAAAGGAGCATGCATAATAAATAAAGTGTCATAGTGATAATTTCTTAATAACTTGCTGTAGAATAAAATAATAAAGACGCAATTAACGAATGACGCATCTATTTCAGTGATATATTATTTTTTTAAACACTCAAATATATTGCACTTTCGTGTGTGATGTCATACAGTACAAAAAATACGAAATCTATGTAAAATATACATTGCACGACATATCGCAAATATAGGACACATAACAAATAATTTTAGAACTTGTGTGCAAGAAATAAAAATCTACCTTCTGATGAAAGCACTTTGTCGACGTCTAAGAATGTGACAGTAGATGAATTATTATTACTTTGCCACTTGTGAGGTAAGATCGGACCAATACGTTGCATAATCCTTTAATATAGTTCCACTGAAACGAAACAAAATATCGCTGTAAGAAATTTTTATTAAGATTTGAATATAAGTACATCTAATCTTTTCATGCGATTCATAAATATCTTTAATTTCAGAGTTAAAATAATATTTTTACATATTTTAAACAATATAACTTCACGGCACTACGCGAATTACTTTACGTACTGCTTTATGCGACGTTAATGTAAGATTCATATAAAAAATATTTTTCCTGCGTAATGTAATTAGATGTTGAAACTTTTGATATATTTATGTTTACAGTGTTCATGTCTCGAAGTTTTCCATGGCTCAAGGCGAGGTTGCAAACCGATAGCTTACAGTTTGTCAATATCTGTGCTGGGAAATTCAACGGGTTATTAAGAAGCTTTGCGTATGCGTACGATTACGGGTGACCGACTGGTAAAAGTATTTCCAGCGACTACTATCATACAATTAGTACCATTGCATCATCATAAATTAACCGTGAATTATTATGCGTCTAGCAGTCTACCTCATTTTACCATTATTAAATTTGACTGCTGTGAAACATACGTTCGCGAATATACGATCACAGAAGATATTTTAAAATGTTTATCAATGATTAAAAAATTCATTAAAACTATACATAAAAAATGTAAAAATGTGCTGAAGGCTAGTCTTTTAAAATATTGCACTCACGTAAAGTAAACGTTGCCATGTGCATTTGGTGCGTTCCAAATAAAAGTGGCCTGCTCCTTATCGCGCGGATCTGCATGTGTCACAACGCTGCACTCAGCGTGTGTATTCGTATTTGGCGTTTGCGCCCAAGATCCGATCCACTCATTCGTATTGGCATCACGCGCCTGCAGGAAAAATCCCTTAAATGAAGCACCGCCAATGGTGACTGAAAAATAAACACGAGCCAAGTTTCAACAAAAGCCATTTGTCCGGGTAAAATTCGGTCTGTCTTTTATCATCTGTGACGATATAGCGTATGTGTCGTAACACATGTGAAAGCTTTTGTCGTTTAATGGCACACTAAAATAATTTTATATTAAGGAATGATAGTAAAATCATTTTTAATCAATATTATTTTAGTATACCTGTGATTTGAGAACTTGGTCCATATTGTGAAGACGAGGCCAGTATTTTGTAAGGACTCGTGTTCAAGGGCTGCGACCGTGCCTGGCCATGATAGGGCTGATTCGGTCGTGGTTTTACGCAAGCATCCACCGGTCCACCGTCCGGAAACCCAAGAACGGAAATTGAAGAAAAGGCGACGAGTGCGAATGCGATAGTAACATATCCAGAGGAATACATCTTTCTCACTTCACTTCCTTTATTTTAATGTCGCAGAAAGGTATGTAACAAAATTTTGTTAATATTATAAATGTCGTACATATGTAAGAGGAAAGAAGAAAGATATATATTTGCTAAAATAAAATTTTAAAATACACAAGATTTAATTTAAAAACACAGAAATTCATAACGAATAATTATTACTTATAATAAGTTGTCAGACGTTTTTATTTATGAACAGTAATAACACGAATAAATATAAATAATGATAAAATGCATGACAAAACATACTTGAGACAGTTCACGTAGTTCAGTTTTGTTACACGAAAATCGTGCGAAAGAAAAAAATAAAAAGATGTGTTTGTGATAGATCCGCATGTAAGAAACTGCAGTACTCGATCTGTTGCCGGTGAGTCAAATGTTGGTAGAATCCCACCATAAAATCGTAAAGCTGTGCTCAATTCGCCTTTGCTAATTGATCACTTTCACTTGATTCCTTCGTCGATCACCGGTAACCGGTTTTACTTTGTTCGTTTAAGTATATATCTATGAATTTTATAAAAACTGCATTATATTTATTGTAAATAGTATTACTATTTTTATGTCATAACATGTGAGTGTCATCAGTTTCGACAATTATAAAATAAATTATGAAGTTCTGCTAAAAACTTTAATGACAAATCATAATTTATCACAATTGTATAAGTTTTTATTATAATTGCATGTACAAGTTGCATTTCTTACTGCAAAATAATATTTAACATTTCGTAGTTTTACCGACTTGTAAGATGACAAATAGTTACAAGAAATCGAGTTGTTGCATACTATGTATGATTACGTATTTTGCTAGTTCAACATAGGATCCTTTCACTGCCGATTATTAAATGCCACATGTACCGTTGAAAGTTGCGTCATAGCAAGATCATAACATTGACCTTTACATAATACTTTTTTTTATATTTTGTTTGCTAATTATTATACTATAACATTGCACATTCAATCAGGAAAAAAAGCGCGAAAGGCTTTGCATCAATGTGTCAAAAGATTTAATCGTGTTAACTCTTGGACGAACACTTATAATGCAGAAGTTTGCACACGCTATTCGTATTCATATGTACATATATAACACGTACATACATGAGTTCACTCAATCAATATGATTTTTCATATTGTATTATTGATTTTCCACGACTTTTTCAGGCTGTACGCGATAGAAATATTTCTTTCAGATTATCACGCATTCCATAAGATAAAAAGTCAATGAAATCTCCAATAATGGTTTAAAATATTTTTAATTATATTTAATTTTTTTTTCTCATAAAAAACAGAAAATACAAATTTTCATGGAATATATTGCTCTAAAATACCTCAATATAAATATAAATAAAACACAATTTTTTTAATGACAAGTAGCACACAATTTTCTTTGGATTCTATAAAAAATAAAATTATTATAAATAGCTCCTTATATTCTCAGACATATGTATAAATATTGTTATAATTATATTTTTACAGTTTAATCATCTTTCGACAAGTTATCTGACAAACTATTTGAATCATATAAATCATCCTTAAACAAATTATCTGATCCATATAGATCGCTCTTAGATAAACTGTCTGACAAACTGTCTGAATTATGCGAATCGCTTTCTATTACTTCAATTGCGCATGACCGCGGGAACCATCCTTTTGCACGTTTCGATCCTGCATTTCCTCCTTTATGTTCTTTTTCTCCAAATAGCCAATATCTATAAAAAATCAAAATTTTTCTCATCAAGCAACAAATTATTTAAAATAAATCTTAAGGACTTTGATAGGCAGAATTAACACAATATTAAACATACTTCTTCCAACGTGTAACAACCACAATATTCCCCACATCCAACTTAACGCGAGGTTCATCAAGGCAAGGAGGATAACAAAATACGCCGAAGCCGTGTCCAATTGGAATCCTCGAGCCTGATGCAGTTTTTATAATCCTATATCTGCGCGCTCTTTTCCGTTTGTCTAATTTTTGTTCAAGCTGCTCTTTCTATGAAACAATGATTAATGTATAACATATAAATAATCATTTTTACGTTAACGTAAATATGTTAATGAAATATGTGTAATTAAGTTATACAATGATTATAGAGATTTTTACTTCATACAGACGTTTCTTATTAAATTAGTAATTGCTGTGTGGCTATTTTTGTTTTAAATTACCGTCAATGTGTATTGATCACAGCCGTCGATAACGGGCCATGTAATGCCATCGCCAACAGGAGTACAGTCCCATGTAAAAACCTGACTAATATTAAAACGCCATCCTTTCGCATATGGATGTTGAAATACAGTCTCCCTGCCGTTTCGCCGACATCGAGCTTTCTCCAAAATCCAATCTTCTATTTCCGTTCGATTCTTTACGATAGCTAACATCTGCACAATTAAGAAATGTATTAAAATTGAACAGAATTAAAAATTGGCAGGAGTCAAAAAATGTAGCAATATTTTACCTGGAAGTACAACAGCATTCCTACAGCAACTAGGACACCAATTGATAAACCAATACTAAACACTACTAATATTAAAACGTAAACCGGTGGCGGTGGAAACGGCAGCGGCTTCAGAGATAATACGGTTGCTACCCAGGAGATTAGTATAACGGTGGAGACGCAACAACCACCAACTGCACTTGCTAAAAATGCCGTGAAATGTCCATGATTAAAATGTCCAACGCACGTATTTATCCATGGACAATGATGATCCATTTTCATCACACAACGACCACCTGACAAGCAAACATATGTATGAAAAAATTAAAGTTGAAGTAAGATTGACATATATATATTCATTTTGAAAATTATATAACTATACTATTGTTTCTTTTCTTAATAAGTTTTTCTAACAAATAAACTCAAAATATAAGCATAATCTATCATTGAATTATATTATTAATGTTTTAAAATCTATAAATTTTTTCGAAATATATTAAAAGATTATTTATACATTTTCTACAATGATGTGCTCTTGGTGCCTTATATCCTTGACAGATGTTGCAGTACTGTAAGTATTGTATATCTGTAGCTTTCTCCTACAAGTAAATTAATAAATAATTTATTAATATAATCACAATACAAAATTTATTTCATTTATGTCATGTCTCAAACCTATTAATAAAATTTTCAATTTTATATTGATATATAATTCTAAGCAGTAATGTAACTTTTTAGTTGCTAAATAAAGCAAAACTAAATTAATAAGTACCGGCATCCATTTTAATGCAAGATATCCTGGTCCTTCAAATATTGCACTCAGAAAATGGAAGACAGTTAATGCACTAAGAACAAAAAACAATAAGAAACTGGCAGCAGATAAAATATGTTCTTGTGGTGAATGTCTCCCCCATTGTCTGTTACAATGTATCGTCATTACCGTGATTATTTTTATGATTCCTGCAACATAAATTGATATAATAAAAGCTACAGTCTTGCCAAACAATTCTTGTTCCAACTATTTATATTTCGCGCCAGCTTACGATCGATAATGCTAAGCGAAATGGGCGCGGTTAAACATTTATTATCAGGAAATCATATAAGCATAATATCATGCAAATTTTATTATAATTTAATAAAATATCAAATCACACACTCCACGAACTTCTATAACGTATTTCTACGGGAACAATGCGAACATTAGAAACTCATTCATCACGCGTTGGCTAATTCGAACGAATGATGAACGAATTCACTGTCAAATGCGACTCTGTCGACTATAATCTCGCAATCGTCGATCGACGAAAACATATTCAAACAGGTTTGTCAGCAAAAAAAAAACATCCATCACGTACCCAAAGCAGAAAGTGGTCCCCAGTGACATATCTTTTTCAATGGACCTATGCACATGTTGTTACCATAGAGCGACTGAAAGGTGTCCTCTATTCAGATAAACTCGCGATTCAATGCTCATACGTTAGACGATGCCGGCAAATTCGGTGGCGATCGGTGCTTTTAGCTGAATCTTCGCCACTACGGAACAATTCTATAGTTGTACAGTGGTGTGTTTCCGAGGCAGATAGAGAAAGAGCAACCATAAGTTGGTAGTAGTGCCACATCGCAAATTCGCCGACTGTTGTCAGCAAAATTACCTTTTTCTGCGACGATAGGAGATGAGTTTATCTGGTGCAAAATGTTCTGATAAAAGGTATTTTTCTATGAGGTGTTATTACTCTGTCAACAATCGTCTAATATTCGTAACTTATGTTTTCGATCAAGATTCTTCACTTTAAAAAAATGCCTGACTGTAGAATTTTATCTTTATCTATTACTTAACCTAAACATGGTTGCAACATTTTTTATTTTGATCAACATATGACACTGGCGTCCGCACTATCTTTACATTAAACTGCAGATGAGCCGCTTAGAAGCTGAACTGATTAACTCCGCTTTTTGCAATTTTTGCAGTTTTAATACTAAAGCATATGATTATATTAATACCAAGCATAGTGGTTTAACTTTTCATAAATAAAATTAATTGATGGAGTTTTATTCGATGGAGTTAAGGTGACTTTCCAATGTAGATTAATTTTAACTGTCCAAACTTATCGACAAAATTGCCATGAATGAAATATCGTTATCAAAGAAGAAAAAGGTTTAAAATTTTTATTATAACGATATTTTATTCTTCATGTTAGCAATTCAGTTAACAAGTTGGAACTGTTGGTTAAAGTTAACCGACCTTGGAAATAGTCAGCCTTAGTCACTTTGGCTTTTGTGTGGCTCAGATTTTATACTTATTGCATACTTATTTTTTTCTCAACACACATTCATACACTATATCACAGCATGATCACAACTATTCTAATATATTACAGTGACACTTCTACCAGCCTTTCTAAACAGTACACCATCATGCCATGTATATCAAATACACGTTTATACGAAATTGACTTAGAACGTTTAAGTAATGAACAATATCTAAAGGAGGTGTATATTGATATTTCTTATTAAATTATATATATATATAGATTAAGTTTGATTATAGAGTATTATCAAAATTATAATTGCTATAAATCTATTCTTCAATCAGGTTCATTGTTTGCAGATTTATAATCCCTCAGTGATGAATGAACCATCTGGACCTAAAGCTCGAATCCCTATAAGACAAGAAAATACTGAAGAATCCTATTTAAAAAATAAATCAAACATATTATCTATCGTAATAACTTCGTATAGCACAATTACTCACATTCCTTTGAAAGTGAGGAATCATCTAATGATGATAGCATTGAAAATGGAGAACAGATGAAAATAGATCAACATGAGATTGCAAAAACAAACAATTTCGTCATTCGCAAAATCGTTCTAGAACTTTTTCTCCAGAAAAGACTTTGAAAAATGGTTCAAAATGTAGTACTCCAGAAGTTCAGCTATTTAAAATTAAACAAGATATAGAAAGCAGGAAACTAAAAAGAAAGCAAGAGCAAAAAGAGAGCAAGAGACTAAAAGATTATCTAATAATCCCATTTATTTCGGTCATTTTTTTTGCTGTGGTTTTGTTTCCATATATGTATAAAACACAAGAACAACCAATAAATCATGATAATTTACTATTTAAATTTATCAAAAACGTTAAAGCAAAGTTTCATAATCAAGAATCAGATAGCTGGAATGATATTTCATCTGCAATAAATGAAGTAGTATCAAGAAGCCCTAAAGTACCTTCGATTATTCTATTATTTGCGAATGAAACAAACACTATGGATTGTTTAGCCACAGAACTGGCACATGTAAGCAGCAGTATTTTACATACGGACCATCCTAAGAACTTCAATCCTGAAGATTTTGGAGATAATGCTGGTGATGTCATTAATACATTAAAAAAAAATTTTCCACCAGTAAAAGTTATAGTGAGTGTACATGTAATATATATATATATATATCATATATAATTTTCTGTTTGCGTTAATTAAATTATTTAATTATTAAACAAATAAATTTGTTGCAGGTCATTCGTGATATTTTGAATATTAATGCAGAAGCGATAAAAGCATTACATTTTTTGTGTGATAAAGTTAGCCCTTTAATTGACGAAGCTATTTATATTCTTACCATGCAAACCAACAATTATCAACCATCAAAGAAAAGGCTGACCTTTGTGGAAGATTATATTCGCCGTAAACTGTCAAAAAGCATTGATCAAGACATTTTAATGCCACTTATAACACGCATTACAGATGGAGCAGTTATATTGGTACAACCTGAGCCAAATTTAGAACACTGCAGGAACTAATTTGTCCGAATTGTAAGAAAATGGTGTTCTAGATTTAATAATATAAGTCTGTAAATAATAGAATTAATTGCGAAATTATTATATAAGTGCAATTACCATGAGTTTAGTATAAAGTATATACACAATATATGTATGTATAACAAAATACAGATTAATAACGGTACATGAGATTAATAACAGTACAGATTAATAACCACTTCTAATATTAAATATATAGCAATAAATATCTTTAAGACTTCTAAGATCTTATTGTAATTATGTCAAATTAGTATGCTAAAAATAATATTGAACATATAAGATCGAATATACAAGCCGATTTGTATTTCTTGCGGGAAAGCAATCATGATTATTCATATATTTTTCACTTATTTGAATAATAATTGAAAAATGATAATTTATTTCATACCAAAATTAATCCATGATTTCCCTCTTCTCTAGTACTTATTATAACATTAGAAAGCTGCTCTCGAATTAGGAATTAATTTTTTTGAAACTGCAACAATACTTACATGATAATTATAATAGAGATAAATAATATTTATGATTAAGCTTGTCATTGGTTACATATTGAAAAAATATAAGATCTGTTAATTTAACTTTATTTTATGTCAATATTACACGAAATAAAGGCTTTCTAATCGTAATTTCATATTTCTATGTATTTTCGAAAAATATAATGACATTGTTGTATCTAGCGATTTCACGCATATTTCCGAATGACATTTTATTTAGCTTTAAAATAAAATACAATGGTTGGGATTACTTTATGTGTGTAACATTCGACTTTCGTATTAATGTGTCAGTCGGCAGTCCGTACAGTGTGATTGAATGTCGAGTATCATATCCTACTCGTTGCCAATTTACAAGACCTTTCATCGTAATTCTAATTTATGTAAAGTAATTCGAAATATTATTTACAATCAAAGAAAATGTTATTAATAGTTAGTAGAATATTGTGTTTATTATAACTACAATTAGTATTACAATTAAAAATATATGGATAACAAAAATTTATTTTTTCAACATTTTGTAGAAACTTGTTTATAATAAAGGTCAAATTATAAGCAAATTGCAATTTCTTATTAACTCGCATCATCTTGTTCAATTTAAAAAACCAAAAAATATATATATGTATAAAAATTTGCATATATACAATGTTATAGTCAAATTTTGCATATAATTTTATAAATATTTAATTCGTGACATGTTTTTTTCACTACCTTCGAAAAACAGGTCAGAAAGTAAACTTAAGATAATTGTGAAATTTTAACAATATCTATAAATATTCTATTTTAATAAGCTCTCTGTCGATTTAATCCTTTCAGATTCTTGAAAAAATAAAACATGATATTCATATTTAAACTAGTATTTTCCAGTACTTTCTTTGAACGATGAAATACTTTATAGCAGGAAAAAAATAGCAATAATTTTTTACACATACTATTATTAATGAATGTGTCATATAACATGAATAGTCAAAATTTGTTTTGATTATAGCAATTATTACACACAGATTATTTCGCAACACATTGAAACAATATTAATTTGACTGGTTAAAAGCCCTAGTTTAAATCGATCTCTGTGTTTTATCAAATAATGGTTTTATAAAGCATTTTCTCGCACATTTTATTTAAAAACAACGTGCATAAACGTAATGGCAAATGCTTTTTACTTTGTTGATATACTTGGTAAGCACTTTATAAATTGGCAACAAGAGTACCCATAGCTGCATACTTTGCTAAAATGATAAATTAGCAAAGTTTCAACTAGTGAGTTACATAGTAGTCGTTTTCCGTCATAATAATTGAAATCGGTAACTAAAAGTAAATAGTATATATAGAGTTTGTATAATATAGTACGGTATCGTCAAACCTAAATAATAAATACATTTTATATATACAGTCACAGACTTTTTATACAGAATGTCCAAAATCTAATGTGCTGTACAATTCCAATATTATTCCCATTTTTATAATTTGAACATAAAGGATTGAAAAATATTGTTTGTAAATTTTTGTTTAAATTTAATTATAAAACTATAAGATAAAAATCATTTATTAATACATCTCTTTATAATTAAGAACAACTAGCAATCGATTATGTGATGCTAGATTAACAAAAACATAGATTACAGTAACTGAAGGTCAATATTCTGCGCAATTATATCAACATAAAGAACCGAAGCATGTTTTGTACGTATCTCGATACAAATCATGATTCTTGTCTTACTTGTCATCAATTATAATTAAAATTTTAACAAATTCTTTTAAACTGATGCAATGTTGCATTGACGGCCAAATATGACTATTGCTTCGTTTCTTAAGGGCACTCTGTATAGAATAGCCTTAAAATTACGAGATACGTATTTACAGTAAAAAAGTTTAATTGGTCATGTTTCTATCTAGTATAGTAAGGAGATGAGTACCGCGTTGCGTAATGTTGTCCGTGTTGGCTACATAGTCGCGTACTTCAGTCATTCAGTTAGTATCTTGCAAAGTAATGCAAGATTACTTTTTCGTAATTCTGTGTCAGTCACATGTCGGACGAGGTATGAGTCTGCCTCGACAAATTGTCTTGATCATTGTTTCCATTTCTATTCAAGCGCTAAAACGTTTATGCCTGATAAAATGAATGTCCCACACTAAATACATGCAGGTATGAGTCTGTACGTGTTCCTACACAAATTGTTCCAAGGCTTCAACACAAAACATTGTCGCAATTTGACATAGGTTCGAAAACATTATTTTAGATTATAACATATAATATATTACGGTTTATCTAAAATAAGAAAAAGAAAAAAAAAACATGCAAAATAATTATATATGAAAATTTAACTTTTTTTTTAATTTGATAAGAAATAGATAAGTTTTAGTTCATTATTGACATGTTCGATACAAATAAAGTCACATAGGCAAATGTAAAATCATGCGTTGTCTCGATGTACTGATTGTAGGGATAGCGTAAATCCCTGTAGAACTGATAATTGTTAACACTTAATGAAACCAGATTACATTCAGAATTCAAGGACAGTCGATTAGAACTCAAAGCCTTGTACTGGTAATTGGGAAGAATCTGGTGCAGTGAACTGGTATTCCTGTCCTTGCGAATCGATAGAGGGTACTAGCCTAGTATCCTCTTCTTCAGACCCAAAGTATCGTTCGATAATATCAAAGGCCTTTTGATAAATATCCATATTTTGATGAGATTGCAAGAACTCTATTTTGTCTAGGCCTGAAATGTTGGAATAAAATAATTATTAATAAATTAGCTGATGTTATCCTTCACATAAAATCTATTAACTTGAGAGAGAGAGAGAGATACTTTACCATAACATTCTTCAATAAGAACTGCGTAAGGATTAAGACCATTGTGCATGGGTGCATCTTGTTCTCCTAAACGTAAAATATTTTCCAATCCGTTCAAAGCGACTTGAACAATCTTGGCATCCATAACGGTAAGTAGATCACATAATGGTGGAATACACCCTTGCATCGCAAGGTATCGAATTTGATCAGGCGTTCCACCACTAGTTGCGTTCGTAATTGCCCATGCCGCTTCTTTGCGTGTTTTAAATTCGGCTTTGCTCAAAATTTCAATTAAAACAGGGAAGATATTAGCATCAATCACCGCCTAAAAAAATTTAAAGAAATATTAAATATAAATGTTAGTAATGTCATTAGTATTAATGTACAAATAAAGTTATTCTGCTACGTTTAAAAAGTTGCAACGTACTTGTATCTGTTGGGGATTACCGGCAGTGATATTAGAGACTGTCCAACATGCCTCTTTACGAACACTTTCCCGTGGCGAACTCAAAAGATGCAATAGACACGGCAACGCTGAACAATTTAATACAACTTGTGTTTGCACATCATCTCCAGTAACTATATTTCCCACAGCACGAAGAGCTGCGCTTATTACGTTATTCTGTTCGTGCCTAAAAACCAAACATAAAATTACCATCATTTATAACATACTTCAATAAAATTATCTTTTGTATCTAACGTATTTCATATAAATCCTTCACATACATAAGGAGTTCTACAAGACGTCTGCAAACACCAGCATCAATAACAGCCTGTATCTTATCGTTTGGACCGTCACTCAAGTACGAAAGTGCCCAGCAAGCATCAGCAAGTACGTCAAAATCACTATGATTAAGAAGATGTGCTAGCACTGGCAGACACGGGGCAACTTTTGCAAATGCCGGCGCTGGATTTTTTCCTCGACATAGGTTTGATAATGCCCATACTGCATTGCGAGTCATAGAGAGCCGCGTTGCCTTCGAAAGTAATCTGAAAAATAGTGTAATATATTAGTTTAAACAATACCAATCAATACCTATCAATTTCGTATAATTTTCTTCAGATATAATAACAAGTGTGATAATAATTGCACAAAAATTGTAAATATAAAGAAACATACTGTAGAAGTGGTGTGAGGATACCGTTGGCTAACACATGATCTCTGCACTCAGGACTATCTCCTGCAATATTGCCCAATGCCCAAACAGCTTGTTCCTGTACATCTTCATATTCAGAGCCAAGTAAAGATATGAAAGTAGGAACAGCTCCTGCATCTATCACAACACGTGTTTGTGTGGATGTACCACTCGCTATATTTGTCAAAGCCCATGCTGCTTCAAACTAAGAAATAATATTGCCATTTATATGCATTTGATATACAGCAATAAATAAAACACTTAATATTAATTTATTTGCATACACTAACCTGCAGAGTGCAATTTGTATTATTTTTAAGAAATTCAACAAATCGTGGCACAATTCCCGTTTGTATTACTTCATCTATAGGAGGATTTGGCTCTCTTGATAATAATTTTCTAAATTTCTGTGTCGCTGCCAATTGATCTTGTATGTCAGGACTATACAATGCATCTACCATTTCAGTTGTTATAATACCCGGGGATTGCTGAAATACAAGTTTTTTTATATAAAAAAGAAAAATTCACAAAATCACAAAATAAATTATATATGCAAACAGTAGCAATATGATGCTATAATTATGTTACCGATTGTGCTGTAGGAAGTGAATATTCATCTGTGGTTGTAACATTATCTTCATCCGCTACAATATTCGGTACATTGCGACGTTTTGATAATTGTTGCTCACGTTTCTGTTTTCTTAATTGGACTCCCTCTTCTTCTCTTCGTCTGCGCAGTTCTTGCGAGTCTAATCCTACGTTTTTGTAACGATGTTTATGTGTGGGTCCAGTTGACATCTGTAAACATAAATAATAAAATACATAAATATATCATTTTAAAAATATTATATAAAAAAAGAGTATCATATAAAAGAAACTTACGAAATACAAATCAAGGACATGAAAATAACACAATTACAGCTCTCAATTTTATAAATGTAAAATAATTTATTATACTCTAAAATTATTGTTGGAAAGAAATATAGAACTCTATGTTGTTTTGTTTTTCTTAATATATTTTTCTTTGTCTCCTTTTATTTCATACCTGATAAAAAACTTGAAAAAAGATTATATAAATAGTTCCTTTAAAAGATTAAAGTTATATGTATTATACAAAAGTACATCTGTGTAATAATTAAATTGTATTACTATGAAAAATGTATTTTTTTTAGATTAAGATAACATTTTAGAAAATATATACTTTCTTTCGATTATAATAGACAATTATCAACAGCAACAATCTACCAATTATAGCAGTTGATATCAGTATTTTTAATAATTTAGATGTAAATTATATTTTGTAAAATTTTTTACAAGTTTTACAAATGCTACTTCTGCTTCATTTCATTGTTTAAAAGAAAAGAAAAATTGTATTTAATCTTTTATCAAAATTTGATAACTATATATATAACAACAATCATATTTATATTGAATATATAAACAGTATTTTAGAATTGTTTAAGGAAAAGAGAAAAAACCAAACTTTGTGTCCTATCATCCTTGTTAAAAATATCTTCAAATAAACGCGCGCGCACACACATGCATACACAAGCATGGATACATTAGCATACCTATCATCATATACATTCACGAATTCTAAAACAAGTAACGAAAATGATGTTCCAAACTAAGCTTGTTTCATTAACAAAAAGAAATGTTTTCAAAAGTAACGGGGAGGAAAATTCACGCCTACACTTTTTCCGATTACTTAAATGCTATTATCGACATCAGCTACCGACAGCGAGATCATCTGACAATGGATTCCGTGTGAGGGTTAGGAGTTAATCGACGACACGATCGTTGGAGACGGATGCTCGCGAAAGCGAAATTAATCTGTGCACACGATTCTGTCAAGATGAATAATTGCGTCGGTGCCATTACAGCTTAACACGTGATCACCGCCGATTTTCGCACGATTGGTCGCCTGGACATTTTGGCACGCACACGGCCGCGGACTGACATTGGCCTGGAATCCTTTCGATCCTTCAGCACATTAACGCGCACGTCACGGAAGGTGAGGACGGTGAATCACGCGCATGATTCTCCACTGCAATCGTTGCACACTTGTACTTACGATTGTGAGAACAAATTCGAGCCGACAGATCAGACGTAAAAGATCATAAGAGTAATGCAAGCCCAGGCGCCGCCGTGAATCTTTTCCAGTCTTTTCCCCACCACGAACTATATATTATAATGACGGCTGATCGAAAAACCTTGCATACTGTGGCGCGCAAGGAATCACGGGTTTTCTAGCTATCATATGCGGCACGCTGATTGGCTCAGACAAGTCGATCGCGTCTCGCCGCGCTCTCTCGCAAAATTCGTGTTTCACGAATACATCAATGTGACGATATATTTATCGTGATCAGAATATTTATTATGCGAAAAAATATTGTATCAAATTTCCTAAAAAAAATTTACATCATAATGTAAATGCAAATAATCCCTATTCGATTACATAAATGACATGTGCAAGAACATATATACATCAATCTCATATAATATTCATATATGAAGTTGATCATTTCCGAATTGAACCCAAAGTACTGAGACGTATTTAAACTTACATAATCAAATAGATATAGATAAAAAATATATATAACAAAATTGATATATAATTACAATATAAATTAGATCTCATTTTTACTTAGATTTATTAGATTTTAATGGATTCACATACTATTTTTGCAGTTTCATAGTATTATCTCTTTTAAGATATGTTATTATACAACTAGAAACAAATTTTATAAATATATGCTATTCCTATCACAACACATGAAGATTTTAACTAAAAATAATAATTACAATACTTTTTGCATTGTAAAAATGCAATTGTTGCCATGTGCTAAAGTAATGCAAAATAAAAGTATTATGTTGTAGTAAAAATGTTAAAGAATATGAAAGAAAACATTAAAATAGTGCGCTTTAAACTTTGATGTGATCTGCCAGGGAGCAAGACAGACCAGTGTTGTCTGGTTCAACGTTGAGTTCCTTTACAATCCCATCTTCAACAACCATAGAATAACGTTTGCTACGTTTGCCTCCCAAAACTTGGAGATCAACTCCAAGATCTATGGCATCTGTAAAATCTCCCTTGGGATCAGCTAACATGCGTACCTAATAAAAATAATTTTTTCTTTTTTAGAAAATCAACCCAATTAGAAAAATAATAAACTTAAATTGCAATTTAAGTATATAATAAATTATTTACTTTTTCAATTTGTATGATAAAAGTGATAATTAAGTAACCATACCTTTCCCGTTGCATTATGTTCTTTTCCCCAAGCTCCCATAACAAATGGATCATTAATACTGATGCAGAAGATCTCTGAAATTCCTTTGGACTTCAATTCATCTGCTTTTGCAACATAGCCAGGGAGATGAGTCTAAAAATTAATATTGATAACTTATCAGTTATATAAGATATAAAGAAACCCGATGCATATATACAATCGTTTCAAAGACTTATTATTTTATTACATGCGAAACATATGTATAACTTCGTCTGTTTGTCACAATAAATGTGTACTTTGTAATTAGAAGTTAAATATTTTAATTGTAAAAAATAATATTTTTTTACTTTTGAGCAACCAGGTGTAAATGCACCTGGTACACCAAACACAATGATTTTCTTTCCAGCTGCAGCCTCTGCTAGATTCACCTTGTCTGCTGGTGTATTCTCAAAAAGATTCGTAGAAGGTAGTTTATCTCCAACCTTAAAAATTACATTAATCTACATTATTGATCTCTTTTAAATAAAAAATATCACATAATATTATTAATATTAAAGACAATAATATCTCTGCTTGAATATAAGGAATTTGATTAACAATTAGCTGTGACTTTAAATAATTTACTACATTTCTGTCTATTTAAGCTATAGCTTATGCCATGATGCAACCGACAGTCAATATTAAACAAAGCTGTCCAACGTTGCTATTACAGAGCCAAAAGTATTTAATTATCAAGTCATGTTTAGATAATTAACCATAAGTAATTTTTTATTACTAGATTTAGATCACAGATTCAGAAATCACATATAGCCGGCTATATCGTAAACCAAAATTAAAAGTACAATATCAAACGATATTATTCGATAATTTGTAAATCAATCTTTAAATAATAAAACTAAGAATTACTCACGGCGATAACCATTTTTCGCGATGATATGTGAAAACTTCGTGCAAAACAATTGAACGTCGATTGTCGTCCGTTGACGAAAACAATACGGCTTACTAGCTGACTCATGTATGCGCAGTTTCCTCGCTTGTGCGCCCCAAACTACAAATTGCTGCGAATGACCTCAAGCGAAACTGCAGTTACGAACGCTTGCAGTTGACAGATGAGCAACCAATATGTTACAACACTGCACAACCCTATTACATAATTCTATAATTTATGTTTTTATTCACTGCACAACACACACACTATGCTAATTTATATTCCATGAATTATTTTAATAATTACATTTAAATTAAATTTGATTTGATGAATTTATAAACAACTAAAATTATATTTGATGTTAATATTAATTTTTTGGTACAACAGCCACGATATTGATTTCGAAGCAGATATCATTTAACAAGTATTTACTGTTTTAAAGAGCGATAGACATCACTCTAAAATTGTAATATCAGATACTATCTTTAATTATAATAAAAAATTTTAGTTTTATACACAAAATATTTAATGTATTATAATATAATATGTGTTAAAATATAAAATTATTTAATTTCTTTTTTTTTTATTTTTCTCGTGTATATTATAATCTTGATACATTATTAACAAATTCTAATTAATAAATTTTAATAAACCTGTAGTAACAAAAAGATAGTAAAAGAATGATTGTGAAAAATTCAGGGCATAAATTGCGTATCATGCAACGTAATTGAAAATTACAGAAGTGAGCAAATTTATTAAAACATCTATGATCTTATTGGTCAACAATCTAGTAAATTTACTCACTATTTTGTAATTTTTACTACATTGCTTGATACACAATTGATGCCCTGTGATGGCGATACTAGTATACTTATTTATTTCATGCATGTGCACCTTATCTGTTCTACACATGGCTACACTCTACACCTACACCATATGCACTACAAGGAGAATGCCACTTGATGCTGCTGTATATATAACACGTGATTAATGATATGATGCTTGTTGGAGTTTAAAAAATGCCAGCCAAAATAAGAAACAATGTACTTACATACGAGGGCAGTAATTATCTCAGATATCGTTTGGTATTATCCACATTATCTGGGAAGCCAGTAAGAATAATAGATATCAGAACAAAAGATGACAATCCTGGTCTTAGAGGTTAGTTGAATTATTACATGTATAAATTATTATTATTAATTCCTTATTATATTAACAATTATAATAGAATTTTTGTCTTAATATAGTTTATTAATATATAATAAATATATTAATTTAGTAACACGCACAAACTTCGTAACCATGCTTTATTATTTACAACAGAATATGAAGTTAGTTTTATCCGTTTGTTGGATAAAATTACTAATGGCACAAAAATTGAATTAAATGAAACTGGTACCAGCATATATTATAATCCTGGTTTATTGAATGGTGGTGAATTAGAACATGACTGCAGTGTGCAAAGAGGTATTAGCTATTACTTGGAAGGAATTATGATACTTGCTCCATTTTGTAAAAATAATGTTGATCTGAAACTTAGAGGAGTAACCAATAATACTACAGGTATTAAATAATACATTGATGATAAATATTTATATTATTAATGGTTAGTAATATATAATTTGTATATTATTATTACAAGATCCGACAGTAGACAGAATACAAACAGCTGCTATACCAATATTGAAAAAATTTCTATCGGGAGATAATGAAGTTGTATTAACCATTCGTAAAAGAGGGGCAGCACCTTTAGGCGGTGGAGAAATACACTTCAAATGTCCTATTAGTCGAAATCTTAAGACAATTCAGGTATTTATAAATTTTTTGCATTGTATAGTTTTGTAGTATTTTATTATTAATTAGTATTGTATTTTATTAATTTATTTTTCAATTTGTATAGTTGGAAGACAGTGGAATGGTAAAACGTATTAGGGGTACAGCATGCAGTATAAGAGTTTCTCCAGCAATTGCTAATCGTATTATTGAATCAGCGAAAAGTGTTCTCCTCAAGTTTCTACCAGATGTATACATTCATACAGATCATTGTAAAGGAGCAGCTAGTGGAAAATCTCCAGGTATAAATGATTTGTATTTATATATTTACTATTATAACTTTATGATATACAGTATTAATTTTATCTTTTGTAATCTGTTTATATTAGGTTTTGGCGTTACTTTAACAGCAGAAACTAACAAGGAAATATTCTTTAGTGGGCAAGCATTCTCACCATTAATGACAACAGGTTCATTGCCATGTATTCCTGAAGATCTTGGCAAACAAGCTGCAATGGAACTTTTAGATGAAATTTATAGGTAAAAGAATTATTTGCATTGCTTAAATATCTTTTAACTCTTTAAAAATATTTAAGAATATTTTTAAACTCTTTTATAATCTGACAAATTTGTAGAAATGGATGTGTAGATTCTCCTTTTCAAAGTATGACTGCTGCATTTATGGCTCTTGGCAAAAAAGATGTCAGTAAAATTACAGTAGGGCCATTAACTCCAATAATGTAAGTATCTTTTTCTTTTTTTATTTACACATTGTAAAAAAAAAATTAAGTTACTGTGAATTTTTAGGATACAATTTTTACGCGATTTACGAGATTTCTTTGGAGTTGTTTTTAAAATAGAACCAGTTAAGGAAGAAGATGAAGTACTACCACAAGTGCACTTAACTTGTTTAGGAATAGGTTATACTAATATAAGCAAACGAACTTTGTAATCTTGTAGAAATTGTAAATAATATTGTAGTATACATATATTTTTTGTACATTTAATATATCAAAATACCATAATAGACTTAAAATTTATAATATAAAATATATCTAGAAATGTCTCACATTTATAAAATAACTTGGTACAAAATAACTATAGTATAAAATTTTGCATTGGTTTACATGGCCAATTATGGAATGACTCAAGTTTTAATTGTTTCCACTTATTTTGATAAATTATTGACCATTGTTTCCAATCATAATATGTAATCTTCTTTGGATGTTTTATTTCATTGTAATAATCTTGATATTTATCAAAAATTTGTAAGAAGATTCGTAAAAACATTTTTCTACTTACGAATAAGTTATTGGCTTTTTTCTTTTTTGTCACTCCCTGTTTTTTGCCTGCAACTGCCACTTCTAATGCACTATATATATAAAAAAATTTAATTTCATAAATTGTATGAAAATAATCAAATATTCAAATATAAATTATAATATTAAAACTATTTTAGATACCTGTTCCTCACAGCACACCATATAATACTCGTTGGACAAGGACGTGATCTTTCTTGTCCTCTTTTTTGCATGAAAGCAATTGTTGCTTGAGAAATCTTCGGTTTATTCACTTCATTATCAAACCTTTTATATAATCCACGTTCCATAGCATCCAGAGAAAAGGGGCAGTTGCCTCCAATTGTGATGCTTTCCAGCTTTATTGCTGGTATTAACAATGACAGAAGTGATCCTTGTAAACCAAGAATAAGCCATCTTAAACATAGGTATATTATTAGTTTAAGGATAATGTAATATCTATACTTGTTAATTTTCAAACTTACTTTGCCATTTTATCAGAACAAGATAAACTACTTGTGGGATCTCCTCTACCTGGTTTAGTACGCAAAGGACCTACAATGTGATAATTTATACCAGGCAAGTGAGGGTCTTGTGTCTCTTCTTCTTTTACACATTTTGCTCCTGTTCTATATATATCTTTATAACACGAATTTACAATTCGTCCATTAGAATCTTCTGAGACACATCTGATCTTTGATGGAGGCATATCATAATCGTAGGTTTCTTGTTTGGGAAAAATGGAACAATCCCCACAAAGTGTCTGACTCGAAAAAAAGTGAAATGATATACCATTATTTAATTCTATTTTATTTTTGTCATTTCGCGAGAAAACTGCACTCTCCGAATTGCTCAGAGTCAAGTCGATCTGATCATATAAGTAACGCATAAATGCCCGTCTGGCTAGAACCTCTGCATGAGAATCACTCAATCGAGAGCCTATCTCTTCTTGTGTATTATTTATTAATTCTGATTCTCCTAAACATTTCGTTCCAGTAGCAAGTGCTACCACAGATAATAATCCATCTCCGGTTTTTAGAATAATGCCAGATAAGACAGTCCATTCATGAACATTAGGTTTACCTGTTTTTTTTAAAAGATTGTACTTTTCTATGCAAAGGCTAGCTATGTTATCTGCAAAGTCTTCCATTATCTAATGTTCATGATTTTACTTGTATATATTTTTATATACCTCACTAATAATAATAAATTATAAAAATTATGCATCACATGCTCAGCGATGAAAACACAGGAAGATACATTGAATAGGATTAAAATAAATGAATTTCTATACTGATTGTAATTGAATCTGTCACTCATAAAGTCTATTATTTTTAAATGTTTATATTTATATTTTAGTAAAATATATTATTAACGTTAAATGTGCCAAACATCACATTAGGTTATATTACAACCTAACTTTTCTTTTAGCGCTTGCTGCCGCTGCAACGTGCTGCGACGTAAAGTCTGTATCTGTATCAATCACATAATAACCGATAACCAAGAATGTTATCGAATCATGTAATGTAATTCGAAGAAAATAACATTTTCCCAGTCAGTTCAAATACAAAAATTGATTTTTATAAATAAAAATGTCAATAATATTTCGGAGAATTATCAACAAATTGCAAGGTATCAATTTTCAAAGTTTAAAATATTGTACAATCGTCGAGAATCAAGCAAAGGTTGAAGATTTCACACCGACTATATCCAAGATACAATATGACGACGAAAACAATTTGTATCAGAAGCCTCGGGAAGTATGGTTAGAAAATTTAGATACTGTTCAAGAAAAGAAGCTTGGTTTGATTACTTTACATCCACATATTTATGCTGCTGCGCCCCGTATTGATATCATTTATGAGAATATAAGATGGCAAAGAATGTATCGCTGGGTGGTGAGTAATATATTGAATACAGTTATTTTTATATGGCAAAATATTAATATATTTTATTCATTTATTACTATCGATTTCTTTTATTTATAGTGTTATGCGCATACGAAAACACGTGCTGAAGTCAGAGGTGGTGGTAGAAAGCCTTGGCCACAGAAAGGATTGGGAAAAGCTCGACATGGAAGTATACGTTCGCCACTATGGAGAGGTGGTGGAATAGCACATGGCCCTCGTTCTCCTACAACGCACTTTTATATGTTACCATTTTACACCCGTGTAGCAGGTCTTAGATCAACGTTATCAGTGAAACTTGCACAAGATGATCTTCATATAGTTAAGGAATTGGATATTCCAACATCGGAACCTTCCTACATAGAACAACTAATAGACGAGAGAAATTGGGGACCATCTGTTCTTTTTGTGGATAGCTATGATATTATGCCTGAAAATATCACATTAGCAACTGATCAGATTAAGCATGTCAATCTGATGCCTGTTTATGGTATGTTTATGCATTATAAATTTTAATATTTAAACAAATTTAATGTAATATGTATATTAAATTTCAAAATTTGATATAGAATGCAAAATATTTTTGAATCTGTTAAAGTACATTATTTAAATCAATTGTATGCCAATATATATTGTATTATATTTATACCTATATATTTCTGACATTTATATTGTGTATTTTTTATATGCATAGGTTTAAATGTATATAGCATGCTGAAACACAACACTCTGGTACTTACAGAAAAAGCAGCCAGGTTAATAGAAGAGAAACTGCTTTATCATTTACATAGGTCAGATAGTACTAAAGTATTGCGCCCATTCAAACTTAGTCAACATTAAAGAAAAGTTTTTAATGCAATTAGAAACTTATGTTACATGTATTACTGTTTACATATATACAGATTGCTCATGTGTGTACGCATATTTTAAATATCTGTATTAACAATATCTAATGTGTTAAATAAGATCGTCATATAAAAGAAAATATATTTGTACAATCTAATTATTGTCATATATTCAATGAATCAAATTCTTATACGTATATTCTCTTAAAAATAATTTATCACCCTTTATTTTCGCTTTAATATCGGCATGCTTGCAGATTTTTTTGGAAGTGGCTAAAATTATATAAAATAGTCTTTAATAGTAGCAAACATTTCAATTATTCATTATTATTATGATTCAAAATCTCTTACCAAGGGATGCGGATCTGCACCAAGCATTTTTTCCCGTACAGCCCATCTTATTTTAGAATGCTTTGCTTCTCCAGGAAAAGATATCTGCTTCCATTCTTGTTGATACTTTTGATAAAGAGCAACAGGGTCGCATTTCTTATTACCAAAATTCTTTTGTGCTTCTGGCTGCAATCTCCATGGTCGAATAACTAAACATAAAGAAAACATAGTTTAAAATCTTTAAAAATTTCAAGTTTGATATATTGTATATATATATAAAAAACTCACATGATTTTTGTCCAGAATTAACGGATGATCTTGCAGATAAGGTACTTTGTATACGCACATTTCCAGTTGGATCTGATGCAACACTTTTTGATCTTGGTCTAGTCATATGATTCGATAAAATTGGTTCATTTACTGGATGTTCATGTGTTGAAATCACTGGTTTCTCTTGTTCTTCTATTCTTAAATTATATTTGCATTTTTCTGTTAAATAATTACTTTTTACTGGACATTTAGAAACATCTTGCCTATCTTTACTTTTGGAGGACCCAATATTTGAGTAAGATTTAGCTTTAACACGATTTTGTTCAAAATAAATTCTATCAGATTCAGCTATTTGAATATCTTTTTTGTAGTTTGTTGTTGATGGTCTTTCATCTAAGCTCATTACAGTAGCTTTAGGATGTTTTCGTTTTTGTATATCCTCTTCCTTAGGAATGCATCTTATTCTTACTTTTACCAATGGCTCGTTGTCAAGAGAATTTGAAGATTCGGAAGGAACAATATTAGTTAAAGAATAATCTGTATTCTGATGTCCATAAACTTCTTTAATTACAGCTTGTTGCTTGCTAATTATTTTTGTTTTAATTTCTTCTTTTCTTTGCTGTTTTTCACGTTCTTTTATCTTTCTGTATATTTTTAAATCTAAAAAATAAAATTATAGTTACTTTGTAACAAGATGTCCAACAAACATATAAAAATAATATAACAGTGAATATGTATTAATTTTATTGCAGTAAAATAGTAATAAGCATCACAAGTCAATGTTACCTTTCATAAAAGCTTTTAGTTGAGCTGCAGTAATGCCAACGAATCCTAATGAATTTAAAAGACTAAGAACTTCTCGTGGATCATCTTTAATCTCTGACATAATTGTATCAATATAAAAAAATTTGAATCGTAATGTGTAATATGCTTCTTCTGACTCTTTCAAATAAGAGGAACGTTAAATCCCATTCGTATACCATAGAGTAAAAATACATAAACGTACATCACACTTTCTTTGAATATTTTTCTCTTATGAAAATGTGTTCTAATATATATTGCAGGTTTCAATATGGCGTAACCAATCAATTTCTGGTTATTTCTAGTAAGACGGGACTGGTGACAAACTATGCAACTTGTTGCAGCATGCAATCTAGTAAATTACTAGAAATGCTGCGTGTTGTATGGTTCATTTTTAGTAGTTTATTAGCTTGCATGCGACTTGCTGCAACAAGTTGCATAGTCTGATGCAGACTATTGGCCGGAGCACAGACTTTTGCATAAAGCATAACGCATAAGCATAAGGAAATTGATTGGTCCATTTCCTTAT